AGTCGCACAGTCCCTAGGGCTTTGCAATCCAGAACATCCTACTTTGCTTGCTTCATATCCGCTGGTTTCGTGCCATCGATAGATTGATACAGATCCTTCTGATATAAAATATCTTCTATCTGCATCTTCCAGAACGCGTAATTCATACCATTGAATTTCTCGATCTTGACTTTGTCTTCAACCATTGTGTAAACCCTTGACCTCCTAACTCAAAGCTCTGATACTAGTTGTTGGGATCCAATGCGCTTTAAACCCACAAACAAACACACACAATCAAAGAATAAACCAAAAACATAAAATAATGAGAAGCAAGAAATAACAAGACACACAGATTTTACGTGGTTCGACAATTTGTCTATATGCACGAAGCTGCAAGGACTTCACTATTGAGAAAGCGCAATACCGAGGGCGGCCATACAATTACACTCAAACCCTAATCATCAAAATAACAGATTTTTATATGTCTTACCTATCGAGCTACAAAATAGGCCCAAAAAATTTTCCTCAGGGCATTCAACTCAAGCCTTTGCTCCATGAAACAAGTCTCAGAAAATTTTCCATTAAAAATCATGCAACATTATTTCATGTCTGGTCATCATCCGAATCAACACACAAACTAAACTCCACAAAGGCCCAACAGTTCAATGATAGCACGATTATTCACAGCATGCCTCAATTGAAGCATTGTTTTGATTCTGATAAAACCTCACTCAAGAAAACATTATTCAACTGTTTGGGATTGGCAAGACAGATATTTTTGCATTTTACTCCATCTAGTGCAAAACCTCTATTAGATCATAGATCACCAGGTGTTTTCTCACAGCTCAAACAATCCCCTTCGTAGAATTCCATTGTCATATTACTGCCAAGTGCCAACAGTTACAACCCATATACTCTATCGCTCTCCCTCTCCATCTGTTGAGAAATAACTGAAATACTAAAGAGTAAGGAGGAGGCAGAGTACATCTGGACACGAAATATCAAGAAATGATTTCCTCCTTTAAGCCCACCACGTGCACAAAACTCTAAATCTTGCCAAGGGTCGCATCAAATGTAAATGAAAGAAACAGTAGGTTCCAAATGCATACCCTTAAGGAAAAGACATTAATATAGGCAACTAAGGGATTAACAAGAGATCCTCCCCAACTAAGAAATTTGTTTGTTCCGTTATTTCCAAAAAAAAAAACACCTCAAAAGAGAGAAGCTACATTTTCCTGCCAGCATTACTTTTCTTCTAATCCTTACTCCCCAACCAATGTCCAATCTACATTACTAAGGACTGGTTCAATCAATGGACATTGATTGACACTGAAAACCGACTCACTCGATTTTTTTCTTCCTTCCATGATGAAAGATACTTTATGTCTCTCCTTAGATGTTGCCTCTAATTCTCCAATTTCTCATCACTGCACATCTGCACCCAATGTAATTTTTCTGTGATCTTACCACGAAGTTAACTCAACATCCTAGCTTCAGCTGCATTCATATTTCCATCCACCAACTGCTAAGTTTCTAGTACAAAGAGTGGTTAGCCTTATAGCTATTGAATAAGGTACAGGTAGGGAAATCAGAAAATGCATGTGATGTTTCGGGTTCTGAACAATGTGGTGAACAACTGTGGCCTCTTGAAACCTCAAAAAAAACAACTGTGGCCTCTTTGCATTAATTCACAAATGTCAAAAAGAAACAAAATAGAAAACAAAATGAAAATCATGTACTCACAGGAATCTTAATGATATCAGTACGGTTCCATCCAAGAGGATTGTAAGCCACAACCACCTGAAAGTAGCAGTCAAATACAATGAACCGTTTTATGAAATATCTTGAATTATGGAAAAGGATTATAGGAAAAAAGCAAGAGTACCAAACTCTTTCCTTCAGGAATGTCTTCCTCAGTTGGTGGGCAGAAACTTATATTCAATAATTGACACTGTAGAGAAAGATGAAGGAAAACAAAATAGTGGAAAGTTAGCATTAGACCGGGAGGTCAATACCTTGCAAAACCCTCGCCCCCCCCCAAAAAAAAAAAAACACACACACACACACACCCCCAAATCCTGCATGTGTGGCCAAGAATGGAAGGGGGAAGCAGAAAACAGCAAAGTAAGATCCTATAGATGAATGGTGCTTGTAGTCCCATGACATCTACTCAAAGAAAGTTCTCACCAAATTACAGTGAAAACTTATACATCAATCACTCAAGGAATCTGTTTAAGCATACTTTTACAAGTTGTATACCATGTTAATGGCTTTTGAGCTTTTAGCCCTGAGCAATAGGGAAAAATATGTCTGCTAGTTCACATTCAAAGTCGTGAAAATGCAATTTAACTTGAAAGCGATTTTAAAGTTTAGGTTTTGCTTTTATTTTCGGCAAGTAAACTAGAGATTTTCCTTGTTTTTCAAAAAGTAAAATTTAGGTTATCCATTTACCACCAAAATTTGTAGTATCACCTTCAAGCAAGACAAAGAGAAAAGGCACTATAACAATTTAACATGGCTGGCAAGGCTAAAAAGTCTACCCATCAACAGTATTGCAAATTCTACAAATGGGATTTGCAACAATAAATGCATGACCATGTGGCAAAGAAAGGCACATTTAATAGGGTAGTATCAAATGGATGTAAGGTATGCAACAACTATATAAAAGTTTTGAAATGAAAAGCACATTAGTCCACGATTCCTATAACATACATATAGCATCCGCACCCATTTAAGTCCTTTTGTGCGATTAGAGAAACAACACAATATCTGCAGCAGTCTACACATGAGACACATTTTAATTCTCATCTTGTAATTGCATAATTGTGACACCATAAAAAATTTCAACATTGAAGATGGATGGCATAATTTACTCGTGTAGCTACAATAGACAACCACATCATGACTAGTAGAAAAAACAAGAATCATTAACGATTAAAAATTACACTGTTCGAGTTGCATCTCTATCCTTCACAACTCAAGCATGAAAATGCAACAACATCAGCACTTAAAGATCATTTGGATGTAAAACACTAACAATTCAAAAAAAAAAAACTCAGCAGTGAAACTTCACCTGGCTAAATGTCGATGTGGATGTCGGACATTGGTCACTTTTTGTTGAGTTAACCAGGCATGACAAAGCTGAACTTGCAATACCTTCTGCCTAGGGCAGGTATTGCATTTGGAAAGTACAGATAAAATTAAAATGTATACACAAAAAATAAGAGTGCAAGACGTGGGATTGAATATATCTAAAAGGTCAAGTACAAAGAATTAACAGCACACCTCGGACGCTCCAATCGCCAAGCGTTTTGCGTAGTCATTTGTTGTATGCTGTTTAGCTGTACCAGTGACAGCATCATGGTGCTGTGCAATTCCTAAGGCGTCTGCTAAACTAAAAGTGTTGGGACCAGTAGATCTTCTTCCAACAAGGAATTCAAGTTGGCGTGTTGCCTATTTTGAACACAGAAAAAATCTCAATGACTATTTAATTGGCAAAATAGCAAATATCCTAGAGAAAGATGAGAACGCATCCAGGACATGATGATAACACAGTAATCATTTATCTCTGGCACAGAACCAGCATCCACACTTAGCATGTCCAATACTTGATCACAGTCAAGAAATTCATGTCTATCCTTCTGTTCGGTGAATCAACCTTGGCATTACCTAAATGAAATATCCATCTCAAAAACTATATTTAATCGGCAAAATAGCAAATATCCTAGAGAAAGATGAGAATGCATCCAGGACATGATGATAGCACAGTAATCATTTATGTCTGGCACAGAACCAGTATCCACACTTAGATGTCCAATACTTGATCACAGTCAAGAAATTCATGTCTATCCTCCTGTTCAGTGAATCAACCTTGGCATTACCTAAATGAAATATCCAATTCATAGAGATCATTTATAAACTTTCCTATGAACCATTTCATATGTCTTTTTTTATCTCTTATAGGTACCCGGATGTCCAATACTTGATCACAGTCAAGAAATTCATGTCTAGCCTTCTGTTCGGTAAATCAACCTTGGCAAAACCAAAATGAAATATGAAATTTATATAGATCATTTATAAACTTTCCTATGAACTATTCCATATGTCTTGTTTATCTCTTATAGGTACCCGGATGTCCTTTATTCCAAAGAAAACATACCAGGAGTCCTGGTACAATATGAAACCCAAGGCAGGATTTTTTATGACCTTACCAAATAATATCCACTGAGCATACGCACATATCGCTTCAAGGCTGGGCGACTAGTAAAGAAACCGGTCCAATATGCATTTGCACTGTCTGCATATCTGTAAACAATCAACACACAGAATCCATATCATGGATGAAGTCAATAAGATTATTTAGCCTATACTGTTACCTTAAAAAAGGAAAAAAGCAATAATGCTCACGGGAAATAGTCATCAATTTTCAGCAGCCAGGATTCATTTTCGGCATGTTTTGCATCTGTGTAGATAGATGGTGTAGAATACAATGCATTCACTCGTCCATCCTGTGTCATTAACTCAATCAAAATGGATCCTGACTGAGTTGTGTAAACACAACCAGGAAAAAATACTATTCCTTCAATTTAGAGACAATAGTTATTTCAAACTGATTACACCCCTGCGATTTAATTCCACATGAGATAAGGGAAGATACATGTCCTACTATTGGCAGGAATTTTGTATGTCCTACTTAGTCATATTTACAGTTCTACACGTAAAAGGAAGTAAGGTTCACGTCTCTGTCTCTCCTTGAATTTCAGCCTCACTGAGGATTGCATAAAATTTTGATAAATGATTGGGATAATGGAAAGTTCCAAAACTCAAGGAGTGATGACGTGGATATCAGTGACCTAACAGCCCCAAAATTATTCAAATAAAGCATGTGAAATTCATGTGCAAACTGTGGAGAATCTTCAATTATGATACAACTACACATATACAACACCCATACATATCATTACAAATTCATGTACCACAGGATATTAAATAGAACATGAAAGTAAAAAACTTTGGTTGACAGAGGAGAGGCAGAGAAATGACCAAAATTAAACATGTTGGAGTTCAAAACTACATGAAGCAAGTAGAATAAGAAATCTATATGATAAGTTCTTTAAATTTGTAGTAGTACTTTTCCATTTGAATATTCCCCATCAGTGCACAATCACGCTACAACAATCAGTACCTGCCTATGTGGTACATGTCTTACTTTTGGTTCTTCATGTGAAAAAGTAGATTTTATTTGTTCACTAAAAGTTATAATGTAGTATAACTAGCTTCAAATGCTACACAAGTTCTGAATTAAGAAAACTAAGAAGATTGTAAATGATATGTATCAAATGCACAAATTTCTTCCTACTCTCAAAACCTGGTTGGATATGAATTATAATTTAAAGAATTACAGTCCTACCTTCGTCTCCACTTAGTCCTTCTTGAAATGTGTCATGTCCATAACCTTTCCACCATCAGAATTCAGACCCTCTCCTCTATAAGGTTTAACCTTCATTTCACATTGCCCTCACACGCATGAAGGACAAAGTTGAAAACCAATTTATGACCCCTCAATCCTTTGCTTTAGTACGCACATTGACCCATTGTGCAATCTGAGATTGAAACCTATTATTGTACTACCGTTTAACTTGGAACTGATCTAACCTGCTCAAGGTACTCATTAAACCGAGTTACTGCAGTTAGGGAAGTTATATCCTCCAAAGGATAAGTAGCTTTCCATGGAAAGCTTACTCCATGATCTGAGAACCATAATGAGTCAGCATAACATTTGCCTGATTCAAAGAGAGCATAATTGGATAGAAAATGCACTTGGTTCCTTGTCACACCACTAATGTTGCCTATGCAACTACAGCCATGTGGGCTTCTTATGTCTTATGTCTCTTGATTATTGGCAGCCTTCATTATTAAAAGAAAATACTAGTGTGAATGTTTTCAATGCAACCACTCCAACATTAATGGGATACCTGAGCTCAGAAGTAGGAAGTTTAAAACATCTGCAAATAAATTAACTTTCCCAAATCAGAACTTGCCTTGTTAACATAATGAATTAATTTATCCATTTGTTTAAACCAAGACTCAGCATATTGGTACTGGAAGTCATCACCCATTGTCCACATAATATGATTTGTCAGCGTCACATTTGCCTGCATATCAAAGATCAAGCTACCATCAATTAAATGCATTCTGTTTCACCTTCTAGGGACTGGGAACGTCCTACTATTCTCAAATCTGTGCATATGATTATACTTGAGTCCATATTTTAGTAAAATAAATAGTCGAGTTGGAGTTTACTTGAGTTAATGCAGCATCAATAAAATCATTGACTCGTGTCTCAACATTATAGTCAAAGAGAAGAGGATTATCCTGCGGATTCATGAACAAAATGAGAAAATATACGCACAAGAACACCATGAAAAGGTTCCGAGAAGCACATTCTTGCAAAAGAACAGAACCTGGACAGGAACAAAGTCATCATCCACTTCAAAGTGAAAACCATTTGGCGGACTATAATGGACAGGAAATGTGTTCGCAAATATCTTCACAGAACCCAGGCATGTGTCAATGATGAGGGAACAAAGCAAGCAATTTTAAACAAAACAATATTCAAACAAAATTGCAGTTGTTGTTCCGAACCTGAGATGACGAACCAAAAGTTTTGGAACCCTGCCAGACAACTTCGAGAGATTTATCTTTCTTGCGCTTTGCCCTATCCTGATAATCAATGCGTGCAAAATGTACAGAGTCGAAGCCGAGCTAAAGAGAGAACAAAATCAGAGGAATTCAGGAGCCATGGCTTATACAAAATACAAATAGGTCTTTTGATAAATATTTCAACCAATCCCAATACTGTTGGACCTGACTCTAGACAACAAATCACATATTTCAATTATATTACAGATATTGGTGTCAATCTTAACACTGGTAAGTACATGTACCTCAGCCCCAAGTAGATAAGCTTGCACTGCAGAGTGCCCAAATGGATCGATCTGCCATCCAGCACGAGGAGTTTTGTTGAACTGGTTCTTTATTGAGCGATGTCCCAGGGTCGTTTGGTCAATCATATCTATGTAATGACAAGTTGCTTCATCGTGCATACACCAGCCACCGTTTCTAAGCAAGAGAATCATTCAAATATAAACATATGCCAAACTCAGAGACAACAAAACTTTAATATGTCACAAGTGAACGCCATACATGAATTCCAATTGACCGCCATCTACAAGTTTTCTCACTTCTTCTTGTATCTCTAGATTTTGTGTTTGCCACCAACGTTGAAAAAATGCCTACACTTCCATGGTAATCTCAATCAGGGAATAGCAACGAGTTCCAGGTGAATGGTGATAATGCCTACATGACTAGCACAAATATATATAATTCACTTAGTTGTTCATACAGATGGTATGTAGGAGGTCTAACAGAAATTGGGTTAGTCAATTGTGTCCATTGTCCAGTGTTTTGGGGAACAAAGACTAGAGAAATATATGTGGGTCAAAAAGGATACAACCTAAGTGTAGAGCCCTCGTATATATAGTCAATGAAAATTACAATAAGGGTAAAAAGGTAAAAAGGAAAAACTATAATAAACACTAATAAACTAAACTACAATATTTTCAACACTCCCCCTCCAGCTAGGCGCAAAAATGTAAACTAAGTTAAGCTTGACAACGGAGTCCCGAAGAATGGATAGAGTGACAGGTTTGGTGAAAACATCTGCAACCTGATCACTTGTCCCCACAAATGATGGAGTGCCAATACCACTGCTAACCTTCTCCCGAAGAAAGTGAACATCGATCTCTATATACTTCGTCCTCTCATGTAATACAGAGTCAGAAACGAGCTGAATAGTAGATAGATTATCACAATATAATATAGATGAAGAAGTCACTGGAAATCCCAACTCGCCAAGAATTGATCGTAGCCAGATAATCTCACATGTGCCAAGTGTCAATGCCCGATACTCTGACTCTGCTTACGAGCGAGAGACAACTGACTGTTTCTTCCTCTTCCAAGAGATAAGATGAGTCCCTTGAAAAACACAGAAGCTCGTAGTAGATCGACCATAACATGCACCCCCATAATTTGAATCTGAATAACAGGCTAGAGAACCATTCTGAGATCCTGATGCATAGAACAACTCAAGTCCAAGACAAGACTTGAGATACCGAAGAATATGATAAACTGCATCAAGATGAGGTTGACATGGTCTGTGCATGAACTGACTAAATCGGCTGACAGCGAATGAAATATCTGACCTAGTGTTGACTAGGTAGATAAATCTACTTACCAACCTCTGATAGATAGTCGGATCTCTCAACTCCTCACCTTCAGCAGTAAGTTTTAAGTTTGGAATCATGGGTGATGATGCTGGTTTGCACCCCAGCATCCCAGTGTCTGAGAAAAGATCCAGAACATACTTTTCTGAGAAAGAACAATACCCCTGCTGCTACAGGCAACCTCAATCCCAAGAAAGTATCGCAAAAATCCAAGGTCCTTCACATCGAAGGTCTTCCCAAGGTCTACCTTGAACTGCGCAGTCCCAAATATATCATCTCCAGTAATAATAATATCATCAACATATACCAAAAGTATAACACACCGTCCAGAAGTATTCCATCGAATGAAGAAGGTATGATCAGAATGACATCTGGTGAACCCTAAACGTATAACTACATCACTAAAGCGAGAGAACCAAGCTCAATACCTGCAATCTCATCAATACTAACAACAGGTGCATCAATATGCTCAACGAACTGAAAAGTATTACCTGCATCGCCTGAGGTAGAAGGGACATCAGCAGGGGGATGAAAGCGAGGGCGACGAACATAAACCTGCAAAGGAAGAAAGACTGGTGACTCTGTACTAACAGGGACGAGTGGCTCTGGAGAAGGAGAGACTGATGACTCTGTACTGATAGTGACCAATGGCTCTGACTCCTGCGGTAACAGAAAATTAAAGGGAGTATCATCAACTAGAGGGGCAGACACAGGACTAGAAGAAAAATAAGGAATGTGCTCAAGAAATGTAACATCTAGACTGTGATACATACGGCGCCTGATAGGATCATAACACCGATACCCCTTAAACTGATGACAATACCCCCACAAAGACACAACGAATCGCTTTATCATCAAGCTTATAGCGAGTAGGAAATCGATCCTGAACAAAATATGTGCAGCCAAAAACACGAGGGGGACTGAAAAAAGTGTCCGCTCAGGGAATAAGACCTGTAAGGGAGTCCTATGCTAAAGAACATGACTCGGTGTGCGATTACACAGAAAGGTAGAAGTTAAAACAGCAAAATGCCAATAAAATTTTGGTACCCCCATACCTCTAAGCATACAACGTACTATCCCTATTAGACTCTTATTTTTCTTTTCAGCAACTCCATTTTGCTCAGGAATATATGGACAAGTGAGCTGCTGAAGGATACCCTGAGAGGAAAGGTGAGACACTAAGGCATTACACACATATTCTTTGATATTATCCGAACGAAGAGCACAAACAATGACATCAAATTGTGTCTTAATCATCTGGAGAAACTGTGTGATGACAGGAAATACATCAGACTTCCTATGCAAAGGTAAACTCAAATACAACGGGTATGATCATCTATAAATGTCATATAGTATCGAGCACCTGACAAAGCAGTAACAAGAGAGGGTTCCCAAATATCAGAGTGTATTAGGTCAAATGGCTTGGGTGACTGGTGCATGCGAGGAATATAACTAGTCCGAACATGTTTTGATAGGGAACATATAACACAGTCAAGTTTACCACCAACACAAGCATTGCTCAAAGCAGAAAATAACAAACATAAATATTTAAAATTTGTATGTCCAAAACGATCATGCCACAACTGAACAGTTTGTGATGAAAAATCATAACGACAAGTACTAGGCAAGATATTAGCATGCAAGCTAGGAAGAGATAAAGACAGAGTAGGTACAGGTGATGGAGGTGGAGGAATTGGTGAAACTAGAGGTGGATCTCCTAGATAATACAATCCATCTCTCTCATATCCCCTGATAATAATCCTCTTGGTACTCAGGTCCTACAAATAACACGAATCAGATAAAAACACAACCGCACAATGAAAATCTCTGGTTAACTGATGCACGGATAATAGATTCATGGCCAGTTTTGGCGCATGAAAAATCGAATGTAATGTAAAGCCATCTGGGAGACGAACTGTACCCCTACTAACAATAAGGGCATGTGTCTCATCTGCTAACTGAACCTGTGTATGTAACTGTTCGTCAAAAGTGGTGAAGTGCTGGGCCTCACCTGTCATATGACCATTTGCACCCGAGTCTAGCATCTAAAGGGGAGACGGACTGGCAAAAGCATGAAAGGCACGAGGTATACCTGTAGTGGTGGCAATAACAGTAGTCGGACCCTGAGAAGTCAAGGCGGTCATAAGTATATCCAATCGAGAAATGATAGCATCCATATCACTCTGCCAAGGAGGAGGAACAGCAGCAGGAACAGCAACAGTAGGTGGTGGTACCTCAACAACAGCAGAAGTACGGCTACGAGGAGGCGGCTTAAGCTTCGGATAGAGCTTCCAGCTAGTAGCCCGAAGATGGCCTGGTCGGCCACAATAATCACACCGACGAGAACCAGGAGGTACATTCCAGGTGGAAGTACTAACAGCAGAGGTTTCAAGAGTAGAGGTCTCAAATCCCTCAATAGTAGCCATAACAATAACAATATGTGGGCACCCGTGACAGGAAAAAGTTCTTAAGATAAATAGAGGGACAAAATATGGGAGAATAATATACCTCCAGTCAAATAATAACGACAGATAAAGAAGGTCCAGAAAGCTCCCAAGTAATCAGATCACGGTGCCCAAAAATCCAATAAATATAAATAATTGGTCTACTGCATCAAGAGCAGATCAACGAAGAAGAGAAATCAACTCCTCTTAAAAGATCATACGGTCCCAAATAATTAGGCGCATGAAGGCATAACTCAAAGCTGTGATGAAGAACGCGATCCAACAGTGGGCTGGTCCAATGGAGTGGGTATTGTGTTGGGTTTGGGACTGGACTGGTTTGGGACTGCACCAGATTGGACTGAGTTTGGGACTGGACTGGTTTGGACTGAGTTTGGGACTAGACTGGATTGGACTGAGTTTGGGACTGGACTGGGTTTGGGACTGGACTGGTTTGGGACTGCACTGGATTGGACTGAGTTTGGGACTGGACTGGATTGATTTTGGGCAGACTGGTCAAGGTAGTGGACTGGTTTGTGGTTTTGTTTTTAGGCAGTTGGAGTCAATGCGCTGGTTGCTGGGCAGTCGGAGAAGTTTCGGTTTCTGTGGGCTGTTGCTTGCTGTTTCGATTTCGGTGGGATGCTGGTTTCGGTAGGCTGTCGGTGAGGTTGTTGCTGGTTGTTTTGCTTTTGCAGACCTACGGTGGTTGTTTGGACTGGTCGGTATGGGCAGTCGGTGGCTTGCGCTGGTTGCTGCAGTTGCGCAGTGGTGGTGGTGTGGCTGGTTTGTGGTGGCGGCAGGCTGCAACGAGGTATAGAAGGCTAGGGTTATGGTTAGGGTTGGGTTAGGGTTAGGGTTTTTTGCTCTGATACCAACTAGAGAAATATATGTGAGTCAAAAAGGATACAACCTAAGTGTAGAGCCCCTGTATATATAGCCAATGAAAATTACAATAAGGGTAAAAAGGTAAAAAGGGAAAACTATAATAAATCCTAATAAACTAAACTGCAATATTTCCAACACAAAGTAATAATGTAGCAAAGAGATATCACACTAAAGAAAGATGGGATCATTTGAGATCCTGGAATGCTTTCAATTGGAAAACAAGAGTTTTGTTGGGAGGAAGGGTTTACTTTAGGGAAGGAAGGACGTATCAAATAATTTGAATCCTATTGGAAAGGTAACACATATTTCAAATGTCATGCAAATGCATAAAACCACATGACAAACAATAGTAATCCAGGTCCTTGTGCTTTAGTTGACTAAGTTCTAGTGTATTTATAAAAGTAAAAAGGACACGACTTTGTCAACTTGAATATGTATAAAACCAACCACCACTGAGTTGAGTACTTCATGCATGTGCACAAAAATAGTTTGCATATGCTACGTCCAGCCCACATTTTTTTAGAGTCTTTTTCTTTTGATCAGGCTTGGCGCATTGGCTAGATATAATAGATAAAGGACTTAAATGAATATAAACACTGTAGTAGTTGCAACATTAACACCAGGTCAGTCCCCATTGACGGAGGACTGAGGGGTAGAGACCTTGTTTGCAGAAAAGGTTACCCTCATGTTTGAACTCATAATCTCAAGGTTATTGGGATGAGTTTTAACCACTAAAACCAGTGGCTACCTGTTTAGCAATTGCAACATTGCTAAACCAAGTTAAGGATAACTACATATGACATCCTCAAATATAAATTGGAAAAATCAATTCTTCAAATCAAATAGTAAAATGCACGGTTATGAGTGTAATGCCAGCCAATAGGTACCATACCTACTAGGTACACAACTCCCAGTACCCCTAGTTTTCGTGCTCCTTTACAATAATTAATTTTAACAGAATACCATCAAAAGTATAGATGTCTGCGTACTACTCTTCAGTTGCAAAGGGAAGTCATACATCATAATTTGAAACTTCACATAAGGGAAAGAACCAAAATCCAGAACTAAGAACTTCAACAAAATCATCAGTATCAAATAAAATCATTTAAGTTTAGATCCGAACTATATTTACATGATTAAAATCTGACAATATTTATAGTTTACCATTTCAGCAAACACAAATTTCTTATTCGGGTCACGGCCCAATGACATAACAACCGAGTCCAGCACATTCTCAACACATGCACCCTGCACCAAGAATCATCAAACAACATATAAGTGATATATAAAAAAATTTCACCAAAGCACAACAAAATAACACATTCTTTATCACACCTGAATACTGTTATTTGATCCAACATAATACTGATCAACCGTCTTCAACCAACCCACATCATCGTGCGAATGGGGAACCAAATGGACATTCAATTTTCCTCCAACAATGCCACTTCCAGTATTGTATTGAACATACCCATTTACAATCCCACAAGAACAAAGCACAGAAACACCACATAGCAAAGCTGAAACCCAAACAGCAATCATTCCCATTCCCATTCGCAAACCAAAACCAAAACCAAAACCAAAACCCTAGTTTGCCTTGTGGGTCTTTCTTTAATATATAGAGTACAAGACTCTGATGAAACACAAAAAAGCCATAGTGTTGGGTAGTGATAAATAAGCATTGTTTATTCCATTGGCCTCTAATGTAACAGCCGGCCGAGGAAAGAAGACACGCTTTACACGCGCTAGAATGCGGCGATTTTACCCAGATTTTTACGAGGGAGTCCATTTATGGGACTAGTGGAAGTGAACTTTGATGGCAGCTTTACAGTGAAGGTGGTGTGTGTAATATCTATGGGCAATTTCGGCTGGAAAAGTAGCGCTTATGGAAGGTTTTTGTCCGTTTTATTAACTGTTGGCGTTACTTGATCACAAAGGTTGGCAACGACTTAAATTCAGGGGCGGAGGGAGGCATGGCCAGCGCGGGTAAGTGCCCCTAAAAAATATATATATTTATTAGTTAGGGATATATATTATATATTTCTATAATATATTATTTGTATCCAACCACAATCCATGATAAAAATATTAGGTCCATATTATTTATTAAAAAACTAAGTCTATTTAAAATAAAAAAATTTGAGTTCACCACTATCCACTCAAACTTATTAAAAAAATAAATTTTTGATCTATCACAATCCACTAAAACTTATTAAAAAAATAAAATTTTTGGCTCAACATTAATTTGTGCTTTTTGAACGCTATAATTTAAAAAAATTATAAAATAACCTTACCATGTTCAAAACATATTCAGAAATGCCTGAAACGTGCCTAAAAATAAACAATAAATATTAAATATGCCTTGGATCATGTGCTGCACTCTTTACCGAGCTTGAATATGTTTTAAAAATAATGAGGTTATTTTATAATTTTTTAAAATTATAAGGTTATTTCATTATTGTATAAAAATATGTGTCGTTATGTACTAAATTATAGGATCATAAATGGCTGGTTGTTCTCACGATTCTATATATATAAATTTTAATTATTATTTTTTTGTCCATGTTATGCATATCAATTTTTAATCTTTAATATTTATTGAACTTTTAAGTATTAAATATAATTTCAATAACTATGAATTTATGAACTTCTATGATCTATTAAAAAAATTAAACATACTAATATGTCCACCCTAAAAAAAAATTATAGCTCCGCCCCTATTTTAATTCTAATAAAATCTCTGTCAAAAGATTTGCATAATCTCAAATTTATTTTGTCAACGATAAGTTTTTTGAACAATTCAACTATAACTTCAATGAAAAAACTATGAATCTTAAATTTGGGATCGAAATGAATTTTCAAATCAAATAAATATACACTCTTTGATGAATGAGTTTTATTAAACACGTGTCTACAAGACTTCCTAATTTAAAATTCTATAACCATTTTGAAATTTTATTTAGAATTTCAAATTTGAAATTCATAGCATACGAGTTTATTTTTAAATCCCATAAATGACTTGGGGAATCAATTATTAAAACGGATAAAATTATATCTTTAATGTGAATAAAAAAGAAAAGCATCAAAGAGAGAATGGATAAAAATTTGAAAATTGAGTAGGTCAAACTTTAAAGAAGAGGAAAAAATATTTAGTATAATGGTGATAATACGTCATCATTGTCACGTGGTGTCATCATCTAATAATAACTCAGCAAATAGATTCCACATGTTTTAGTAACCATCCATTACTGTCATTTAATAACCACTTATAAGTTTATTATAGAATTGCAACACCACGTGATGATAATGATATGGTGTCACCGTTACATCAAAATTTACTCACCATAAGAGATCTCGGGTTTTTTAGCATGCAAGAAATGGTGCTATTTTTCGATTTAGGGAGGGAAGAAAGCCATGCTTACCAAACTTGGATTTATGCCTAACCACCCACTACTTCAAGAAAATATTTAATATAACAGTAACATCCCGCTATTATTATTCCTTGAAGTCAATATTCAATAAAAAAAATAATAAATCAACAAATAGGTCTCACATAATTCAATAATCACCACTCTACGTAATCTAGGTAATCACCCAATATAAAAAAAGTGCGGTCTACCACGTGACGTCGATGACATAACAACCAAAGAAACAAAAAAAGTAATTTAATTGGGCCTTGCCCATTGTATTGGCACACACAAATAAGATTGCTGTGTTACCAAGAGCACAATGGTAAGATATTGGAACACACGTGTAGATAGTATAATGATCAGATTATTTCTTTAGTGAAGATGTCATTAACCTCCTATATTAAACATAAACATAGTTATCTTTATGTTCGAGGTCCTACAAGCTATTGTGGTCACCACCACGATTACGGTAGTTGAAAGAGGTTGGATAATTTGATGCACAGTAATGCTCCCTACACCTACCCAATAGGCATTGACAACTAGACAAGCTTTAATTTTGAATAAAACTCGTACAATAATTAGATTCCTTTCTTTTTCTCAATTTAACATATCTCGATTAATTGTAGGTGATCTAAAATTGACTTGATTAATTATACGTGATTCAAATTTGAGGGAGAGAAAAAAATCTACTAATTTCATCTTTGCATTTATTTCTTCCAACTTTTGGGTCCCTTTACCACCACACTACCGCCTTGAACTATAAAGAAGGTCCTATATTTTTTAATGTACAATATCATTCGGTCAAAGTTTTTAAATAGATGATAATATAAACTCTACAAAAAGTATTAATAAAGTGTACGCCTAATAACTAAATTTTAGATTCAATAGTTGGGCCAAAAATACAATCTATATATTTTGTTATAATGGTTAAAACTCAGTGCAATAAGAAAACAGTAAAAACAAAATTCTCCTCTCTCTCACACACACACAAGCAATTTTTTATCTTAAATCATACACCAAATCAAGAAAGAATGAAAATATCAAATTTTAATGTTGCAAATAAACGCGACAAATTAAGCTGTATTGTTTTATTTTTTTTGAAATTTTAAGCTCATGTTATATTCTGTAATTATAAATACCATATGGTTATTTAGAATTAATTTGTTGATTATGTGTTATAAATATGACAATTAGAAAATAATCATCTGAATATAAAAAATCTTTCTAAAAATGAGAAAATTTTAAACTAATTGAATCTCAAAATGATTTCGTTATTCTTACTATCAAATAAAAAGTCATAAAAAAAAATAGGTTAAAAGTCTTGCAAATAAACAATTAATAGATCCCAAAGAATAAGAAATAATAAAGTAATACAAGAAAATAATAATAATAATAAAATATTCACGATGAGAGTTAAACATGCAAAACAACTATCTTAAATGCAAAATATACAAAAAAAAAAAATTTATATTAGTAACAAAAACTTTAAAATTAATAAAATCTTATTTAAGGTCGATCATATCACAAAAAAGAATGGAAAAATTAGAGATACAAACAATTAAAAAAATGTCTCATTTACAAATATGGCTTTAGGTTTCAAATTTTCTTGAGTCGCCTCTGGTCTTGAGCCGGAGGTTAACCATCAGTGTAGGCTTCAAAGTCCGGTGGTTACCTCCGATGTTTGCGATGGAGACACATAATGGCATAATGTGCATAAATAAAATTCATAAAGATGATTGGATAAGTTTTTTTTGGCAAAACAGATGATGGAAAAGTTTAAATCAATCGTCACATGCTATTCTAATAAGAGTAAATTATACTTTATACCCCGAACCGTTATCTTTATTTTATTTTATATCCTCAATGTAAAAATTTTTACATTGTACCCTAAAGCATTAATTTTGTTTTATATCACTGTAATAGATAACATCAAACTTAAAAATCTATCAAAAGATGGAGGAAAACCCTAAAGAACTTTCCGCCAAGTTGTTGCAAGAAAGAAAAAAAAAGTCAACCAAAAGAAGAAAATTTAAAGTTTAAGAAGGATAAAGTCATAGATGAATATTTTTCTTAATTTTTAACCTCTAGATATACAATAGACAGTTGCTTATTCGCAATACAAACCACTCACATGCTCATTTACTGTCAAAAAATTAACAACCATTATCTATTAAAGTGATATAAAATAAAATTAATACTTTATAGTGCAATTTGAAAAAATTTATAGTTAAGAGTGCAAATTGAAACAAAGGTTATAATTAAAGTGGTAACGTGTAATTTACCCTTCTATAAACCACAACAGAACCCATAGTTGGTCCAACAGTGGGTCAGAGGACCGAGGCATAAACCCACACATATAAGCTCAACACCCCGTACCAACACCCAGATGAGCCTTCAATCAACAAACAGGGCACAATTTGAATTAGCAAACAGGCAATGCCTCTGACCAATAAAAAAGAAGAGGCAATGCCAGTAGAAAGCTTAACATGCACCGGGTGTCAAAATATGATACATCACCAACACTATACAAAATTAAAAAATTTGGATATTTCTTAAACCACCAGTTTAGTAAACAAGTCAAATATAGGTGAAATCAATAAAAAAAAAATACACAACACAACATCACTCATTTAACGAATACAATATGACACAATTCGTTAAACATGAATTAATAACTGAATCGAATATAGATAAAATATTTTTTAACTCGAACCCTTTAAAACTCAACACGAACCCGTCTCAATCGACATGCCTATGTAACCATCGTGGTAAAGCAAAAATTAAAAATGCTTCAACTGCACTTAACACGCCATATAATTACGAAGGTGGATGATTCCATGTCACAACCTGAAATATTAGAGAACAAAAATTGTTCTACTGCCATAAAAGATTAGTGAGTTGGCCCCCCATTTCATGCACCCCTCTTTATAGCCTTAATTATTCTTTTTCCTGAATGCATAACGTTCCTTGTGACGACCTTTTCGAACAAGCAGCAGCAAAATCAAAAATCAAAATCACAAGTATAGTTGTTATAACACTATAGTGAAACAAGTACAGAAATAATATCAATACTCAGCCCCTTCCATGCAAACAAGGATAGTCTGTTAAACAACCACCATCCCAATTCCCCAACCAAAGTTGCCCCAACACAAGTCATTTAAGCAGCTAAAAGATCTAGAAATTAACAGCACCGGAACAAGGATTAAGAATTCAAGAGAAGTGTGCTAAATCAGAAGCATTCCTGTAGGGATCTGGGTTCTCCCAGAGGAAACACATCATTGGTAGGCTCAAAACCACACCTGAAATTGAACATCAACTATAAGCATCGTCACTTCTCTTCTGGTGCCTTATCCTCGTCCTTCTTCTGCTGGGACTAACATAAACAATTGAAAATTAATGAAATGCAAATACAAACAAGTCATAAAATAGAGCACTTTCAGCTTTAGCTAGTAACGTAAACAAGAGTTATTTTGCAAATTTACTTTAAACAACCACAACCAGGAAACCTACTCATATCGCACAAACCCAGTGCATCACTTCATTACAGTAATATCGCACCAATCATACTTTAGAGATAGGTTACAACGGGGCAGTACAATCTCATGCAACAAGCATACTCTCAATTTCCTATGTGGAAACTCTAGCTTTGATCCAAGTATGCAAATTCAGTTTTTGACAGAAAATACTCTAGTACTGGTTAGGTGCAAACAGAGGACAAAGAAAACACATGCCAACGCAGCAAAGGGCCACTAATCCAGCATAAGACAAGGATCCCAAATCATTTCCTCCACATACGTAGAAGAAGATGCCTGAAAAAATAACTGAGCAAGGTGCCAATTGAACCTATTGTCTAATTAACATGCACAACTACAAGTTATGCTTTGGGCTTTCCAACATAAAGCATCGACAGTCAAATCATCTTTCTCACAAGTCCAGGCTAAAAAAGGAAAGAAAGATCTTTCCCATTGAAAAAAGGATTACAAAAAGATAATAAAAAGAAGAAAACCTAATCGATGGATTTTGAGGACTTTCAACTTTAGATGGCATAATGCTTGAAGCACAAAAAGAAGGCCACCAGAAGGTTAGGTTAAGAGACATGGTATACTATATACCAGAAAACTGGGTTTACCTGGAAGAAAAGGTCGAAAACAAATTTATAAAATGACAACAATAAGTTCAGCTGAGGTATCCCCTTCTTCGGAGGGCGGGGATGCTGGGGTGTATGTTATCATCCTTGAGCAGCAAAATGAGCTGCCATTTTTAATGGAATATCCAAGTAATAGACAATAAGGGAAAACAGATGACTGGCCCATTTTATCACAAACAACTTCAACTCATTAAATAGTTAGATGAAGAGTATCAGTCATCAGTTTTGTTTAATGCTCTATACTATCATTTACTCCCAATTATCACGTGTCAGATTAGGCTTTTTCCAATTTCTAATGTCACCTGTCTTGAACAAAAATAAAGAATGTCCATGAACTTACCAATATTAAAAACTAAGAATGCACCATAGATAATTGCACATATTACATGGTAGTGCAAGAACCATCAAAGAAAAAGAAAGTTTATACAATAGTGTTTCATAGGGGGCACAATGTATAAATAATGGTTAGAGGACGAAATACCAATTAAATAATAATCGCATGACCTATACATCTGTTAAATAAGACATGTTATCATAAATGCAATCAAACAGAGGCAACATGCATGAAAGTCATCTAAAATTGTTAATCTTGAATGTCTTCATCCCAACATACAAATTTATGTGAACATACCTCGGTCTGATTTTGCATGGATGCAAGCAAATCTTTGACGGAAGGATCGTTTGGATCAACTCCTGGGAGCTGTCAAACAAAATGCTTCATGAAATAAAGATCCAAAATAATTTATCACCTTTTGAGATGTATGATCTTAGATATGCACACATGCATGAAGCATAGAGTGCAATTTAAAATGTTTATACAAATATTTAGCAGTAGTAGGACTGTAGGAGTATGCATGGAGGACTTACCGATGCCAGGATAGATGACACAAATGATTGGTCCCCCAACAGCTTACTCATATCTGTCTGGCTTGCTTGATCCTTTGTGCTATCCTGCACAGACAACTGAAGAGCTGCATGTGCCAGAATAAGGACAAATATCAGCAGAAATACACAAGCAAAAATCTTGATATTAGTGAGTGATTGGACTACAATAGGAGCCTTTAAATTGATTGAGTCCCCTACACCGATTTAGGCAACTAATTATTGCCATGTGACAAGTTCAATGTTAAAATATAAGCAATTTGTTTACCAGTAAGTAATTGTACTTGAACTAGAAACACCCCATAAAGTTAGAAAATCTAAACATGATGAAATTATGTGCTCAACTACATACAACATAAGATAAGTGAGAAAGCAAGCTCTGTATGCAGATGTAGATTGGATGCAAATGGATATATAGGCTTGTGAAACCATTCACCTCCACATAAACATAATAAGGCTCAAACGAACATAAAAACTAACCAAGTGCCAAGTCTTGATCATCTGCAGCGGCCTCTGACATGTCCGTGTCTCGCACAGCAAGACTACTGGCAGGGACATCCATTGACATGGCAAGAGCTTGCTGTAGCAGGGCATTCTCATCATCCTGTGAACAAACTCCTTCAATCTAAGCAATAGTTACCAAAGAAATAAAGGCAGTTGTAACCACCTCTCAACAAAAAAGGGTTGAAAATAGAGAAAAGAAGAAATTGAGAGAAACAATATGATGCAGTAATACAGCAATGCAACACAACACAACACAACAAGACAACTTTCTAATGTAGAGCACAAGAAATATAACGTTCACAAAAATCCTATGTACATTAATTACACATTCAAAAGAGCAAGGACTAATTTTCTAACAAAGCATGTGTAATACACTAGACTCTTCTGCAGCACAATTAATGGATGCAACCATCATATATCCCTTCTATACAAACGCGGAACACTCCAATTCATAAAAGGCAAATGTTTTAAAAAATGTTTCCCAATCCTTTAAAATTTAACTTCTAGCTCTTGGTAATCATATTGTTAAATCACCCAAACCAAAACAAATCAGCAATGGATGGAGAGGCCTCACAACCATGTAAACCACACTTGTTGGTGGACCTAATCTTTTAATGTAGAATACAAACTCTTCTACACCATCCCAAGGTGGGCAACAAACCAACGGAGAGAAATACAATCCAAAATTAATTGCAATGGGTAAAAAAACCCTTCAATCATATAAATCAATCTGCGATGTGAAACACAGGCTATCATCACAACCTCCGTCATATGCAACTAGGACCCATGCATAAGCTAACAAAGCAAAAGACAAAAAAGCACAAAATAATTCAAATGGATGAGAGACTTAGATCATTGACCATCCAAGGCCCATCTTTGATACCAAGTTAGAGGCATCCAATATAAATCAGTTGGCAATTGGTAGAGAGGTAATTACTACATAAAGATGACGAGATTTGGACAAGTTGTCCAAACCCAATTTTGGCTTACAAAGGACAAAAATTAGTACAAGCAATATATAAAATCTAGCTACAAATCACAAGCTCTCTATCCTCCATAACGCCCCCAAAATCCTTGGTGACCGAAGCCCAACGATGTCAAAAAATATATACATAAGCCTACCACTACTTCATATCTATTTTCAATTATTCTCGCATCCCTTTTCAACCTAATAACCCAAATCATAGCAAAAATTGCATAATTTCAAAGAATTTCTCTTTTCTAGCCCGTTCCAAAACCTTAGGCCTGTTTAGTTTGCGTCTCAAAAACAGTATTCAAAAAATATTTTTAAAAAACTGTATTGGTATTTTGTATTGTAGAATTTATTTGATTATATAATTCCAAAAAAGGTTCTATAGAATAAAAAACAGTAAAATTTGTTTGGACAATAACTCAGGAAACAATGAAAATAAAAATGTGATGGCGGTGGTGGAAAGATGGGTGTGGTGGTCGTGGTAGAAGTATGGTGATGGTGGTGGAAGTGTGGTGGTGGTCGTGGTGGTGATAATGTTGTGGTGATGGTGGTGTTGGAAGCGTTGTGATGGTGGTGGTGGTGGTGTTGTGATGGTGGTAGTGGTGGTGTTTTCTAAATTCTGAAAATGTTATTTCCAAAAAAACACAAAACAATCGTACCTTGTTTTCTAAATCTATCCACTTTTTGTTCTTAGTTTTCAAAAAACAAAAACAATTTTTTCCCATAAACTATTTCTAAAAACAGAAAAACATTTTCTGGAATAAAAACCAAACAAGGCCTTAAATTCCGCAATGAACATAGAAAACAAAGAACCTCAAATTACTCAATGAACATAGAAAACAAAGAACAAGGAGTATCTAACTCAATCCCATAAAATTAGACAAAACACATTGTTCTAGAAAGACAATAAAATAGTGCAGTGCAGAAATAAATGATCCAAATTTTCGCATTCACCTCAGCACATGGCACATGTAAAGAATAGGGGTGTTAAACCAGCCGAGTTTGGGCAAGCTTTGATGTGCTCACGCTCTGCTCAGGCTTGAATGCCGAGCTTAAAATTTTGCTCAAGCTTGGCTCGTTATAAAAACAAGTCGTTCAAGCTCAACTTGTTTATTAGTGCGAGCTTGAATCTGAGCTGAGGTTCAAACTCAAGCTTGAAAAAAAAGAACTTGTTACTCTCTCAAACACCACAGATTCAACAAGAGAATATATATAAAAAAATTGTAATTGATCATTCATTAGTCTCAAAACTAGAATCTAGAATCCACACTCCACAAAAAAGGTACCTAATGGTAAATCTAGAATCCACACTCCACAGATCTGAAAACTTTAATTTACAAGTCTCAACTTAAAATTCATAAATTTCCTGTAGCATTTACACAAATTCAAATTCAAATAAAAACCCTAACTTCAGAAAATTAAAAAATTGAGGAAATCTTACAAATATACCCCATATAGACATACAACTATATACATCAGACGACCTTTGATGATGTAATCAAATCCTTAAGCTTCTGATACCAAATGATTGGGATTAACGGGTGTTGATTCAATCTAGGGTTTGAGTTTGGTGATGATTGTGGTAATTTTGTGGAGATCTAGAAACCAAGAGTTGTTAGCCAGTTAACAATGAAGAGTCCCATGAAAGTGAAGAAGAGGAAGAAAGAGTAAGAAATTTATGTACTAACAAAGAGATGAAGATGAGAAAGGCAGGAATGGTAGTCAATATGCTTAAGTGGAGATTGGGGATTTTGGGGATATTCAACTCTATCGTGTGTGTGTGTGTGAGAGAGAGAGAGAGAGAGAGAGAGAGTCAGACATCACAGGGAGAGTGGGTGGTTGTGAAGCTGAAGGTATATCCTTTATTGGAGAGAGAGGAAAAAAGAGGAGTGGGTGGGAATAGAATATTTTTAACACTCGTAAAAAAATATCGTCAAAAGTCTTCTTTAACCTTGTTTGGTATTAATGGTAAAAAGGTAAAACAACATGCATGAATGATAATTGAGCCAACTCGCAAATAGCTCAACTCGGCTTGGCTCGGATATGAAATGAGTTTAAAAAATTGGTCAGATTCAACTCGTTTTATAAAACAAGCAAGCCGAAAATGAGGCGAGCCCGACCTACTCAGTTCGTTTAACACCCCCAGCAGAGAAAGACAGGAATAAGGTCATCTCCTTTGAAACACGTCAACCGGTATAAACCCTCCCATGAACAATAGTCCACGCACAAACTTGTACTTTAATAGGCACTTCAGCTTCCCATATCATCAAGTAAAGGACAACTCCAACCATGAGTGGCCTTAATGTTCTGATGTGTGAAACAACCACTATACACAACCACAAACTAACTATTTTTATGTCGGATGTGGTGACACCATGGCCAAAGATGAGAACATATACCTTTATCTAAAAGACAATTAGAGACAACGCTATTAATGAAGGCAATACAACAATCACAATAAAAGCTCAGTTTATCTAGTTATGTCAACTCGCTAAGGCACTGATCATATGAAACAAGCAACTCGTAGAAACACACGTCATGCTTTGGCTGGAACGATCATAGTTTACAACAAAGGAAAAAAGAGGGGTGTGTGTAAAACAAACCATTTGCACGCAATAAGCAGATTTGCCATTCTAAATGGGCATTTAGCAAAAAAATAAAAAAAAAAAAAAGGGAGAGGGTAAGCACAGACAATATAGATGCAAAATGGGTACCTACCGTCAAATCAGTCGTCTTGTTTTCAGCTTCAGATGTTGCTGCACCAGAACTTTCAGTCATCGTTGCATCTTGTGAAGTTTGTTCCCCTCCTTTTTCCGGTTTTGAAGCTTCCTCTGCGGCCTTTTTAGCAGCTGCTTCTTGCCTTGCCCGCTCCTCTTCCATTGAAACTCTGAGAGCAAGAGCCAGCTCAGGATCCAGATTGGGATCCACACCAAAATCAAATCCAGACACACCACCAGCTGCAGCTGCTGCAGCAGCTGCTGCAAAACCACTTCCACCTTCTCCGTCACCAGTAAAGATAGGAGTACTGCCAATGGACACGGAAAAATATGAATCAAATTGTCTGATATCAAAAAGACTTTAACAAAGAAAGATGGAAGTGAGACTACCAACCTGATAAGCACGTCAGAGAGAGCAGTTGGACCAGAAGGGACATGAACAATGTGACTGCTGTCATTATTATTTACAGCAGCAACCAGGGCCTCAAGCTTTTCTGCCTTGCCTTCATCCTCTTCACCAAAATTGACAACATCAAGAGCTACACTGTTCTTTTTTAACTTCCTCCCAATCATCTCCAACACCTTTTTGTCATATTTAACAGGACTGAAAGCATGCAATTAAGATACTAAGGATAAAAGAATCCTCACTAATAACAGCAAAGAAAGATTTGCATGAAGCACAAGGGCGCCTACCTTCCGGCAAATACAATAATCCTTTGTTGTTGCTTTTTGTTTTGACGATGCTTGAGAGCCAACTGAGCTACCTGAATTCCTGCTGCCAAATTCATCTCACCACCTATTTCTAAACCTAGATTAATAAACAACAAAATTTCATCACATCATGGTAAGGAATAAATTCAATAATTTAAATAAAAAATATATAGTGCATGAGGAGCAGTCATGAAGCCAAAGTACGCTAAAGTCGAGTTGGGCACATGGAATTCATGCCACAAAAAATTGCATTGGAGAAGAACTAAATTAAATTTTAAACTAACTGAATTTCTCCAATACCAATTTCAAGCCAAAAATTCCATGCTCCAAACCAGCATCAGAGCAAAAGGACCCAACTTCTAATGCTTGTCACCCTGTCCTCAATGCTATCATAACTCATGGAAAAAAGAAGATGCAAAAACATTTAAAAATCTAAAAAAATACTACTTATGTATTACAAAACAACCACAGGTTGCTTCTCCAATATCCCTTAGAATTGTATAGGCCTCCTGGGTAGTCAAAGTACTACAAATCCAATATTTTTCATGCCTACAAGCAACTAAATTTGACACAGAGAACATAACAAACCATAAAATACTCAAAAAAATTACAGTCGAGTGAAGAAGCTAACCGTGCATGCAAGCCAAGATCTTGCCAAGATCGCTGGTGGGAGTAACCAATACACGAACCCCCTTGCCCGCCATTGTCAATACTCCCACCGTATTCTCTGGATTAGACTGTGCACAAAACCCAAAAAAATACAATCCAAAGAAATTCCAATCAAATATAAGCCCTAAACATCATTTTACTACAAATTTCATATTTCGCAAAGTAACCCTTTGCACCAACAAAACAAAACTCAGATATCTTAACATAATTCAAAAACATTTACACATGTACAGAGGAGAAAGAACAAAAGCCTAGCAGATTACTAACCTGGGTTTTGGCACCGCAGATAAGATTAACAGCGTCCGCTTGAGCTTGAAACCTAGTGGGAGAGTAATCTCCATTTCGCATCCATTCGGAGTTATCGACGCAGATCATTGTCGCCTAATTGGAAAATCAAAACAAAATGATCGATGAAAAACCCTAATTTGAGAAATAAGCCGAACGTAGACAGAACAGATGCAAAGGAGAAAATATGTGAAATTGAAATACTAACCTCGAGCACCATGGTTGGAGACTGAGGAAGAACACAGGATCGAGGGATTGAGTGTCAGAAAGCCTTCTCTCTCTCTCCTTATAACGACGAATGAAGAATTTGGGTTTACTTGCTCAAAAGGTTTGCTTCTCAAAATAATAGAAAGAGAAGAGTACTAATTTACGCAGATTTAACAAGTACAAAAAAGAATAATAATAATAATAATAATGAATAAAATGTTGAATTTCATCCCTATTTATATTTTCTTAATTTACCGCGAAAATATATGTATTATCCTAAAATCTTGTTGAGCAATAAAATAATTATATCTAAAATATTTTAAAACACTAATTCTATTGAGATATAATTTGAGATCATAATATATCATTGTAACTAAATGATTGAAAGTGAAATTTATTTAATATTTTTTTTTTCAAAAATAGAAAGAAAGAGGAACGATCATTAGATAATAATTCATTGGACATGACTATGAAAGTCCTCCAATAGTAGAATGTTCGCAATTCGAAAATCGAAAAGGGCAACCCATCATTACAATCCCATCAAAACAAAACAACAAATGATGCAGCTCCAATAAATCCAATTTTGCTCGACAATTATATAAGACTCGACCTTAAGGGTGTATTTGTTTAGAAGGATAAAGGTAAATATCACAATAAGGATTGGATAAAATTAATCGGAGGCACACATATCCCAGCATTGGGTTAGGCATTCTGGATTGGATTTTTTTTGGGCTCCAAATACTCGGGCCCTATGAAATGGGGGAGATATCCAGCATGATCCGGATACATGAAACCCATGTGGAGTTTGGGATTCAGAAGCCCATCGGCTGGATAAAGAATAAAATGACTACAATGCCATTAAACAGTAAAGTTAGGTAGGGTTTTTACCCCTTTCTTTCCTCTTTCAGCTGGTCCCTCCATTTCGTCAAAGTCGCCTTTTGTCCCCTTCTTCAGCCGAAGGTAACAAATCTTTCTCTCTTCTCTGTCTACATCGTCTCTATATCTGTTGCCTTTGTATTTGTATGCATTAGTTACATACTTTAAGGTGGTCTTTTGGCGTGAAGCAGTAGATGTTTCCAAGAAGAAAAATTAAAATCGCCTAATTTATTTTTTTCATTTGAACTGCGGAGAAGGGCCCGTTCCAGAGCAAGTGTTTTGTCTCTTTCTCTTCTTCTCTTCCTCCATGGATAATGTCTACAAGGTTGCTGGGTTGAGGGCTGTTGGGATTTTTTTCGTTTGCTGGGTTGAGGGTTATTGGGAATTTTTTCGTCTGCTGGGTTGAGGGGAATGAACTGTGAAATTGCTTCATGACTAATGCTTAAGCTTCGTGCATTCGGGATTCCAAAATTGCTCTTCCTTGACACGTTCTACATCATGGAATTTGGAGATTAAGTTAAAGAATGAATTCTTTGTCTTGATTGCATTCACTCTCGGGTAAGATGTTGCATCAAAAAAATCATTGAATGTTCTACGACTTGGTTTTAAATCCCATTATACAAGAGGTAAAAACAGACTAGTGCACGAGGTAAAAGGCTTTCATTGATGATACATAATCTGTGACAAGTCTATCTTGCGTATATTTGAATCTGTGACAAGTCTATCTTGCGTATATTTGGCCCAACAAATACGAAAGAAAGTTGCTCTTTCTTGAGACTTCAACACTAGAAGAGTTATAAACTGTAAATGCTTCTTGCTTTCTGATTCCATTTTCATCCTGCAATTTTAATGTGGTTGTAGCGTCCTCGGTAGCCAATTTTAATGCTTCTTGCTTTATGAATCAATTTTACATTGAGGTTTCGGAATTGTGGAGTGCGTGGTAACCCACCCTTTGCTTTCACTAAATTCTATTATTTAACAATCATGCATTTTTTCCCTCTTAAAATACATATACCACTTCCATAACTTCTCCTCCTTCTTCCATAACTTCAAATATACATATACCACTCTTTTTTACATTTGGGTTATGTATTACTGTTATTATTTCAAGACATGAAATCACAAATATTTTGAAATTTTTGTAGGTATTTCTAATTGCCTAATCGATGTCCACTCCATCACTGAGGTACTTTCCTATTTTCCCGTCAACCATGGCGTAAATATGCCCATTTGCATAGTTTTTTTGACATACTTTTCAATTTATTTGTTTGGTTGAAGGTATTTGATTTATGTTATGGAGAAATGTGATATTTTTTACCAAACCCCCCCTTTTCCCGTAAGATGGCTATTTGCTTTGATATGGTATGTAATTTTTTTTATCTCATTTTGATTTATACAATGTGGTGTGTATTGGTACTTAAATTACAACATTTTCGTTCACACTGGATCGGTGATAACTATTTTGTATTGTTTTATTTTATTTTTATGAATTAGGTAAACATGGACAGCCATAGCGATGAACTATGTATTTTACTTACCATTTTGAATAGGAATATTCGAGAGATGATAATTTTTTTAAATCTTATGGTGTCCCTAATGGTGATGATATGGGAAATGGAAAACAATTCTACGAAAGGTGAGGTCCCACGACCTTTACATAGGAGTCGGTTACAAAATGAACACTTGCACCGTCTCATTGGCGAGAGTGACACAACTTGTATTAGTCAACTGAGGATGCGTCAGAATTTGCTAAAGTCACCAGAACCAATTCTAGACAACAATAATGACTCTAAGTGGAAGTGGTTTAAGGTAAGTGTTATCTGATAAAATACTCAATATTTTCAATATTGTTACTAAAGTTATATTAGACCCATCAGTGGGATAATATTTTTATTGTTTTCCTTTGTAGAATTGTGTGGGTGCATTAGATGGGACTTATGTTCCTGCCCGAGTCCCTCTAGTCTACCAAGCTAGATATAGAACATGTAAAGGTGGAATAGCGACAAACGTGTTAGGTGTTAGTTCTCCAGACATGAAATTCATTTACGTGCTACTTGGTTGGGAAGGGTCAACAACCAATTCTAGGATTTTGCGTGATGCTGTTACTAGGCCTAATGGCTTGAAGGTTGCACGGGGTAAGTCATATTGCTATTATTTTGAAAAAGATTTGTACGCTTCTATATATAGGTTATAGTTGGTTGTTGGGTAGTTGTAATGTAAAGTTTCTTTTACCACACAAGAACGTACTATCTAGTTGATGCCGGTTATACAAAATGGGGAGAGTTTTTTAGCACCATTCAGGGGTTAACGTTATCATATTCAAGAGTTTGGGGCTGGTGCAGTCGCACCTCGAAATGCTGAAGAATTGTTTAACCTCAGACACTCTGCAGCAAGGACATGCATTGAACGATGTTTTGCATTGTTAAAGAATCGATGGGCAATTCTTAGGGCACCTTGCTACTATTCTGTGCGCACTCATAATCGCATAATAGCTGCATGTTGTTTGTTGTATAATTTAATTAGGAATGAAATGAGTGTTGACCCTAAGAGGAGGACTTGCCCGAAGATATGCCTTTTGATTTTGAAGCGGCGAATGATGTGATAGACAGTGTTAAGACATCTATCGAATGGTCTGTGTTTCGCAATCAAATGGCATTGGATATGTACAATGAGTGGATAAATAATCAGGGGCAACCAATACTTTGAGGATACTTGTGGTCTTTAAACTTTCAATATACAATGTTTCAGTTTATCCTATCTTGTTAATGCACATTGTTATCTTTTATGTACATGTATTATGTGTATGACTTATGTTGACCTTTATAAATTAATGTGTCCATCTTTTATTTGAACTTAACTTTGTTACCATATATGTGGCCCAAAACAATTAGTACTATAGTTGTAATTTTTTTTTATCATTTTTAATATTCAAAATGATTATAGAACATGTTCGAGACATGTGCAAGTACCCAAAGTGAGAGGGGTGCATGCAGGACGTGGACAACTACGAAGGAAATCAACTTATTGTAGTACTTAAGGATTTATGTGTGAATAGGTGGAAGTGTCAGAATGACACTTTTAGGCCAGGATATCTCCAACAACTAGAGAATAGTTTGAAAGCTGCAATTCTAGGGTGTGAGTTGTGTGCATCGCCTCATATTGAATCTAAGCTGAAGATGTGAAAGAAAAATTATAACTCACTCTTCACAATGATGACTATTTTGGAGTTTGGATTCAATAGAACAGAGAATATGATCTTGGTGGATGGTGACGATATATGGCAAGATTATATGAAGGTACAGTGTAGACGTAAATACAATATACTCGTTTTTCTAGTTATGGAACACATACTATATATGTCTTTAACTTTGATTACATACGTTTATGTTTGTAGAAAGATAGAAATGCAAAGAGCATGTGCGAGAAGACATGACCTTATTTCAATGATTGGGGGATCATCTTCGGCAAGGATCGGCTACAGGTGAATTTGCAGTGCATTTGGAAGAGATGATAGGAGATGCTGAGGTTGAGGCCTCAATGCGTGAGGCAGATAACATGGTTGGGGGAAGAATAGGTAGGTCGTGACATACCTGCTTCACATAGTGCAACACCTATTTGTGACCAAACGATAGCTAATGAGTCTAGTGTTGGAACACCATCCAATAGTAAGAAGAGAAAAGGGAAGATGAGTGGTAATGCTTTTGAATTAATAACACAGAGTTTGGGCAACATATCACGGGTGTTTGGTGAATATGTCAATGAGAGTCGTAAACAGTTGGATTTAATAGCACACCGAGTTAGCTATATGCATGATGTCTCTGATGCTCGTAGGAAAGTAAATGTCAAGCTTGAAAAGATAAATGGAATTTCCATGGGTGATTATCAAGCTGCACTAAAAGTGATATGTTCAGACCCCGTAAATGTAGACATCTTCTTCAGCTTACCTGATTATGAGCGACCGGCATGGGTTGGTGGTTTATTGTGGAACACAACCCAACATTTGTCATTACCAATGTTGGGTTGCTGGTCAATGTGAACATTGGGTATTATTATAAATGTTGTTGTTATGTAAATATAAGCACTTGTATGTACCTTGTACCTACATATGAACTAAGTATATGTCATGTGGTACGCTCATGGCATATCATATTTTGATCTAAGGTCCCAAAGTATTTTGGGTGAACTTACTATTTTGTGTATGATGTGACAGTAGTTGTATTAAGAACTTTGGCATGGGTAATTTTTATGTACTATCAAACAGATGTATTGTTGATTTGAAGGTATTATCTCATGCACCATATGTATTACAAAGGCCAATTTATATGCATGGTAATTTTTTAAGTACCGGTTAAAAGTAGTAGTAATATACATGGTATTTTTTGTGCAATTACATATGAACAAGAAACAATGTTGGTACGTTGTATTTGTTGGAAGACAGGTTGACATATATAAGTCTTGGGTTGAGTGTCATGCACAAGTGAATAAGTACGCAGGAGCACTGTACAAGTCGTATGATTTGTACAATGACGCGGTAACTGCTTTTGACATGTACAATGCGAGGGATGTAAGAGAACCTGTACGTGATATACCTAATGAGATTGAGGTCCATGCAGTTGCAAATTTGGAAAATTGTCATGAAGATGACCCTATTGACAATATTGAACAACCAGTTGTTGCAATTGGACAAAGCGAATACTCACGTGATATGTGTTGGTGCATCATAACTGTTGTAATGTTCATCTTGGGCATATTACTCACCCATATTGTGTACTCGGTTATGAGTAGAGTTGGTTGACTTTATGTTATAACATTAATGACTGTCATATAATGATGAAGACTGAAGACATTTGGCCATTGATTCAAAGTAACCAAAGTTTTGGATGTGATGTGATACAAATGTGATGTGCTACCTATGTATACCTCTAGCATCTTAATTTGATACGAATTTTCATTAATATTCCATGAAATTCTTAAATGAAACTCATATTGTTCTAGTGAATGATTGTTATTATTGTAGTGTATAATGAAGATACCAAAAATTACTGAGGATGAAACAGATGTATTGATTGACACACTGATCGATTACAAAAATAGAGGTAAGCTCTCACCTTTTGGAAAGTACAACACAAAAATGGTTGACGGTATGTTGGTCGTCTTGAAACGCAGAATGTCAAAGTTCAGTTTGTCCTTTACTGAGCTTATTAGGATTATATTCTATTGGGAACGACAATACCTTACAATTTCTAAGATGGTTGACACTGGGTTGTTTGAATGGGACCTTTTAGTCAAATGTGTGGTGCACAACCCAGACATAATTGATGCAAATAAGTTCTTGGAAGTAAGTGGTTTTGGATTTTAACATATTTAGTACTTAAAAATTTTTAAGCATTCTAGCATGTTAGTTATACATTAAAGTAATCATTTTTTTCAAATTTACACTTGTAGGACGATGATTTCGCTGGACAATATTGCCTTAACCCGTGCCCAAAATTATAATATTTTGGCGTTATTTTCAAACGAGATGACACTTCTTCAAGCAATCATCAATTGGATAGTGTTGGTTCATCACCGTCAATAAATTCTCCAAGGCACGTCGATGTTATAGTCATCAATGATTGAATGCATAGACGATCTTTATGGGCATGTGTTCCCATTTAAAATGTTTATATGTATGTACTGATGTGTGTATAATATTTTGTTACATGCCACAATCCATTTTGGTAATGACTATGTATAACTTGTGGTAGTGTATGATGTATGAGCGTCTATGGGGATATGTCTTCAACAAATAATTTGAGACAATGTTGCCTTTATTTTGTACAAATAGGTAAAGGCAATTAGTAATATGGACGAATACTGTCCGAAATATAAACCTTGATGTCTTAAATATTTGTAATGTTTTGGTTTAAGGCGATGGTTAGTTGGATGACTCTTTTTACTATGGTCATTTTGGAAGGGATGACCCTGACTTCACATGGGAGGTGGTTAACGCCCTCAATTGGGAGAAGCCCCAAGATTAAGTTTATGTTGTTCAATTGTTGCAGGTGATTTTGTAATGTGTTTGTTCTTTGCTATTGCTCTCTTGCCCATGAATCCACTCGGACTTTGCTTGTCATTGTGTTCTATCTTTTTTCTTCCTTATTGTATTTTTGTATTTTTTTGTATTTTTGTGCATGTCATGGTCATACAAGATATGTGGAGATTGGGAGATATATGGAGAGTCTTGTGACAGTTGATGAAAACATTTAAAAAAAAATCCTGCCACTTGGTAGACTAAAAAAAGTGCTCAATTTTTTATGATAAAAGATCACACTACTTGACTGTATGCAAATGTTGTATATAATTTTTCTTATTAACACATATTTTGTTCTTTTTTACATGTTTTGAATAAGATTTCTATATAGTTTTTCCCATAACGGCTTCTTGTATTTTTCCTTGTGCTTGGAATTAATTTTATCGTCTTTTAATTTTTACAAAAAAAAACGATTAATTTCTGCTATAGTTCATGTTAATTTGGGTTGTGCTGTAGTTTTTTGTATATTCTTGCATTATTTGTCCTAAATTTTTTAAAATCTTTGACAGATGAAATAAATTTGTGAGCAACTTATAATATTGTATTATAAAATCCATGTGTAATAACATGTATTTGGTGAATATATAAGCATTCTTATATTTTTCACATTATTAAATTGGTAATCAATAATGATCAAAAACTAAAAAAATAATTATTTCAAAAGTGGTAACCAACAATTGTCAAGCCAACAATGAGATAAGATTGGATAGGATTCAAGGGTAAAAAGGTCAATCAATGTCAAAGGTATTAGATATTTAATAAAAAATTGTAGTTTGTCCATATCCCAACCCCTTCATAATGCACTATCCAAAACAGGGATTGGATAACACAATTTCCTTTTATCCTCCCACATATCCAGCCTATTGAGATTTCACTGGATTGATTTAAGATTTAAATCAAGGCAGTCCAATCCATCCATGATTTGTCAACCACACCCTAAATGGATACTTCTTAATGTTAGACCTTATTGATAATCTAATATTCATAATCATTATGTACCCAAATTATATTCCAATAATATTGCTCATTTTTTAAATATATAATTGCTCTATAATTGTTTGAAATTATTATGGGGATTTTAAAAAAATTCATGTTCTATTTCAAATATTTGGGATATTTAAAAGTAATTATTAATCATTAAATAATGTAGAATGGATTCAAATTTTGTTCGGTTGATATAAATATTGGGATAAAGTCAAAATCTTTGAAAATTTTATTATTTTTATATATTGGTATGGTATAGAGTTCGAACAATTTGAAGCAAGAAATTATTAATGATACGAAGAAGTTGGTTAATAGGTTAAAATCAAACCAAAACAATATGAACATTTTTCTAAATACCAAAGGATATCATATCTATAAAAAAACCTCATCTTTATCATTGATTGTAAATGATAAGTGTCAAACTTTTTTACTTTAATTTTGAAAAGATTATTTTCTAAACTCGAATCATGAACAAACACCGTAGCTCATTGAATAATAATTCAAACAATTATAAAATACAAATGTTATATCTAGAGATAGGTGTAACATATAATAACGTTTAAAATAGATAAGTGGTAAACACTTCTATTGTATTTTGATTTTGAAGGTACTGTTTTTTCCCCTCGAACATGTCACCTCTCTCTTGGCTTCCAAGTTATGATTTGTAGCATTCTTGAGGAGTTTAAGGCTATTTCACCACTTGAATTATGTGCATTGTTTACGTATTTGAGTAGTGTTGCTGGGAGTTAATACTTCATCTTAATGTCTTATCAATTGCGCGTAATCTCAATAAGAGGAATGGTAAGGAATAATCCATTACAATACACATTTTCTCTATTTTTCTTTTGACAAAACAGTTGCCACGAATTCAAGCATGACCCATTGAATATAATTGGGTCTCTCATTAATACATAAAAAATGATTATTGCCGAGAAAATGTGTATTCGAGGAGATATTGATGCTCAATAAAAATGCCCCTGTTTAGTATACCATAATTAGCTACATTTTAGCACCTTCATACTTGCAAAAATATACACCCTAATTTTCTCTTGCAATTTTTGACACAATAGCCTTTGCTAAATTTGAATAAGAAAGATAGTGTAGGGGTTAAAAAGGAGGTAAATCTTCATTGTACCAGAGGATATTAGAATAACTCTAAGGGGCAATTCAAGTGATAATAGAAATGAACGGTAAATCAAAACGTTTTGAGTTCGAATGTTGGTAACCCCTTCGGCCAGATCATAAGATATTTATCCTCCATTAATACCCTGATTTTGACGTAGATAATCTATATTTAAACGAATTAGAGAGGATTAGTTGAGGTACACATAAGCTGAAATAACATCCTAGTACGGAAAATATTTGAAATCTAAGCCTGATCACAGAAGTTTCATAGATATGCTTATATCTATTCCTATGCTTCAAGCCATTAACAACTGATTTGAAGGCTAAAGGCATCAGTAATCTGGAGCAAGCTTTATGAACTTCATGGCCTACTTTGGGCAACCAGCTCTCTGGAATGTTCGCCGCCTGTGCCTGGACTGGATTGAAACTGATGCAGGCCACTGTGCCCTCCCTGGCTTTATTGTTATGCAATTCAGACTGTGCTCCAACTATATATCAAGAATCCACAGGTGATCACAATGTCCACAAACCGAGCCTTGCTGGAAAACATCAAAATTGAGCTTTGACAAGGAGCTCAAGGCAGTGGAAGAAGACAATTATCATCGATTACACCACCATTGCCATTATGTCTGTCGTTGTCGTCATCATAACTATCATAGCGTGGACCAAAACACAGTGGAATTTGAAGCCTCTCATCACCTGGTGAAATTTCATGAGTTTGACCTTGGTCAAAGGAGGCATGTTCATGAGAGATTGTTGTACTGGTATCTTCACGTCTTGACGAGGATCCTTCCATGTTGCTTGAAGCAACGGAATCAGTTCTATCATCCACCATGGAATCCAAAGATGTGGTTGATGTCACATTTACAAGAGTATAAGGGGAATCTCCACGTTTGGCCTTCACCCTTCTTCGCCATCCATGAAGTGATCTTCTTACACTTTCGGAAACTATGGATTTCTTGAACCTTGAGCCCATCTGCAGCAACATAACTGGCGATTCATTAGAAAAAAGGAGAGAGAGGAGTTAAATGGAAGACAAAGGAGAGGGTTATCTAAAGTTGCCTGAGTAACAATAACATAGAGGGGGAAAGTGATGAAGCTACACCAAAACTGAGAGACAAGCCTGCAGAAACCAATATTTAAAGGTGTGAATATGGTTTTGTATACCAGATTTTCATGTCCTAAAGAGAGCTTGTGCATGACGGAACCAGTAGATAAAGAAAGGAAAATATTTGTTTGCAGGCAACATTTAACTGAATACTGTATTGATGATGTACCCAAATGTCAAGCGGATCACAAGGAAGGTACGATTCTCTGTGAAACAAGTAGGCCCCCTAGTTTCCCACTGGAAAAACAAATGCAATTGGCATCATAAATTAATAACTCAATAAATGGTGGCATGGATAAAAAATTAATACAGTCTCTCCTGTTGTATCAATATATTCTTCTAATCTACTCATCGAAGCATTGTCATGATAGCCAAGAGTCGTTAAAATACTTATACACAGGCCCTCCTTTTACCCTCATCAAATTTGCATCAAAGTAAAGCTACACCTGTAATATTTGCATTTGGTTCAATGATTTTCTAAGGCAAATAAGTTGCAATAAATAAAAAAACTTTGCACAGCCAGGACATTTATGATGATCGTACTTCATAGGATAGAATATAGCAATGAATTTCCAGAGCTACAAAATAATTGCATTTATGAATGAAAGAAAAAGGTAGATAGAGATTGCCAAGTCAAACAGATTGTGAAGCCACCCATATCATATTTCATTTATCACAGGTAACATGAGATTAAACTTCCTGGTCGTTCATACTTTGTTCTGTAGTCTTTCAATGACCATATAGTTTATATAATAAAGGCTATAGGTCATCAGTTGTGACGTTTACGAAGGGTCAACCCCTCGGATTTTTGAGTACTTGGCCTCTATTTTACACATCATATGCTCGTGTGGATAGCTGCTGAGAGAGTGTATGGCACGACGAAGCTTTGCGACGCAAACGACCATGACCTGAGTGAATGCAGAATATAATAGTAGCTCATTTCATTAACCAACAAACAAGGCAAAATTGCAAATCACTATTTTGATGCATGCTCTTCCCCTTCTTAATCTACAGATAGAAAACTTTTGATGCACTTAGCCTTATTGTTACCAACACACTGAAAGCTGCATTTGCTTCCTGAGCGAACGAATAAATATTGGAACTGTAACAAGTTTCCATCAGATCAGACGGTAATCATATATGCTTTGTGAAATTAACTTAGTGTTTATAGGAGAGATGGCTGTGGTGTGGGACGATATATATATATGGACTATTTGGATCAGGGGCGTTAAGCAGTAGTCAAAACATATGAAGAAATGGTGAACAAAGAGGCTGTAAGGATGATTAAGGAAGATGTCCTAGAGGTGGCAGATATCTGGTTGTTCTTACCACCCTCACGTCAACAGATATTGGTGCATCGCCATCTAATCTCAAAAATCAAGGTGACGAGAAGGGAACTTAGTACAGAGCATGGTTGCAGGTCTTTTAGGGACATTAACTGTGAATTTCTGTGGTCCAAATTAGGCTTATTTTTGTCCTACTTGCTATTTAACTCATCAATGCCAAACCAACCATGGAGGTTTACATTCTTAACAAGTATCTTAGATTTGCCTTTACAATAAAGTGAAATGTTCAATTCATACTCCGTGGAAAGGGTTTTCACCAGATCAAAAAACAAAGAGAAGCTCGTTTATCACACTAGCTTAGTAGAATAAATTCTTACCAGTGACCAAATAAATGTTGCCATCTCAAAAGCATTCTGCAAATCAGTTATCAACAACAGAAGTCAGTAAAACAAATTCATGATTTTTTAAACCTTGTTTACTTTGTGATGGTTTCATATGTATTTGCTGCAATTACCTGGAATGATATAAACTGTATCAACCGCAGCAGAAGCCTGGGCTTCCCTAACCAGAAGAGCTCATCCCTCAGGTTGAACTGATGAAATCCTGTCCGTTGACTTGCATCCAAGATTTCAACAGCCAGCTTTACCACTATGCGATGCAATTTAGTACCCACCAGGAGGATCAACTGATGTTACATTTGGAAAGGGAATAATAGAAGAAATAAGGGCAGTGTATGTCTTAGAGATCAAGAAGACAGACAAAAGAACTGGTGAGGACTTACAATGGCTGGAAGGAAGGAAATCCAAAAGTAAACATTTGTCCCTGATGTAACTCATGTCTTGTAGATTAGCATTCATGCTAAAAAAATCAGAAATGATTATACAACTAAAATGTGAAACTCTTGACCATGGCAGGAGTATGTTTGGAGTTTGGACATCTCATAGAAATTGAATGCCTCATTTGCCCGTTTGTGTTTTATGCATGATCCTCTAACAAATCCATCACCATGATTCAGGCCATTGCAGCAACTAACAGCCACCATCAAGTGATTATAAACGGGAAGCACCAGTTTTTACAAGAAGCCTAATCGTTGGCACTTATAGTGATGGCACCAATTTTCCTCAATGACCCCCTTTCCCATTATGGATTAGTATTCTTGGCTTTGTGATGATGGGTTTGTTTTTCTAAATGCCTCCGTGACAAGCAAGGGAGCCACTCAATTTCCATTGATGGTCTTAGATTCTCGTGTCAATGGCAATCCAAGTACAATCAGTGTGCAACTAAACGGTGTCTGCTTACATCAGCAAGGTTCAGATGAAATTGAATTTCATCATATAATGTGAAGGCCAGGCTGCCATCTAATAGGTTGCTCAAAAGCATATGTAAGGTTTTTGTCTTAGCTTATCATGAAGAATGCTCAAGTGCACTAAAAATTACCATGGAAACCAAGAAGGATGCACGCTATTGCAAAAATCCATAGCGGAACACTGCAAGGGAAGTGCAGGAGGTGTCATGTGTTTGGTCCAGAAAAAAATATCCATGTACATAACAATTTCAGCAATATCCAATATTTAAATATTGGTGCCAATCTAAAAACAATACTGAAAGAAGTGATTATCTGCACTTGTGTTTGGCAGTAACAAATCGTCATATAGAAAAACCACAGAGAAAATTTGAAACAAGGGATAAAAACTGGGAAACATGTTTGATCCTCCAAACATCTCATGAAATGATTATAGGCTATCAAACAATTGAGGAAAGCATTTAGAGAGAACATGAAGACCTCGTAAGATGGGCCTGGTGCATCGATAAAGTTGCTCCATTGTGACCTGGGCATCAGGGGTTCTAGTTGTGAAAATAGCCTATCCACATACGGGAGTAAGACTACATACATTTGAATCGCCCCAGACCACATACACGGTGGTGGGAGCCTCGTGCACTGGGCCTCCTTTTTTTATGAGGACATTATTAGACCTTTATTAACTAAAGAGAGCATATAATGCATCATCTATCAATTAGATATGCTGAAATAATGGACTTGGGCAACAAAAACAGCTAAATACGTAAGAAAATACAATGACAAAAGGGTTGATGATATTTGAGTACACATTGGTAGCATCCTAGCTGTAATACAGGGATAGGACATGGAAAATGAGTCACAAGCGTGAACATATACATCCCGACTTAACAAATCTTTAAAAGTCGGACAGGCATGGCCAAGACAAACAACAAAGGTATATTCTTTTATATATGAAATTACACTTTAGTTGAAGACAATATTTTAATGACTAATGAAAGCCATGGAATAACATGAATGGCGTCTCACTAAAACATAATCATCTATGTTGCACGAACATCGTAAAGACACAACACTCACACGTGTAAGCTATGTTATGGACACACATAGATGTATTTATTATTAGTCCACTCCTGTTTTCATCTTCACATATATTACTTGTCATCTGGTTAAGATTAAACTTTCCTACAAATGTTTTATGACATATTGGAAACGAGATAAAGTGAAATAATGGCATAAATTTTCTATCAAACATTCCCTTCCAAAGGCCCTAAGGTATGCCTCTGAGGTTATGAAACAACTAATGACAAATTAAGTCCAATTTTAAGGGCCTCATGGAATGCAGTCTCATTTTTTCTTTCTTTGCTAACAATGGTCTCTTAGAGGTCCTGCATTTTCCCTTCGTAGTATAATTTCTCGAAGGATAGCCCCAAATGGGAGATTCAAGCTCAAGATATTCAGTCCCATTACCAAACAATAATTCTGCCTCTAGTTATTTGATTTATTTCTCAAATGCCCAAAATAATCTTCACAGTGAAAGGTATAACCACTTAATGATTCTTAAAAATGATAAGAAATAGGTACAGTACAGCATATACTCCATGACCTGATAGCATTTGCATTTCTACAATGAACGTAAAATTGAAGTATGCAGCAGTACCTGATGCCAACAATATCTCGAAATTCTTCTTCCATGCTTCGAAGCATGTAATTGTGAAAATCATATGACAATGGTAATTGATGAGTCTGCAATTGAGAATCAAGAAATAAGAAGAGTTGCAGCCACATTTTTTTTTCATGAGTATATATGACTAGGCATCGTAATACAAGTTAGGTGCCCATTTCCATTTCATAAAATGACAGATGTTAATCATAAGTTAATTATTGTTTATGTACAATGTGATCAACTCAATCAAGAATTAAAGTTTGGTTCTAATCACAGGCTCTATATTCTGTGGCTATTATGATTTTTCTTTGCAACCACAAATCCATTCGGTTCTGTTATCAATGATTTGCCTATCATAGCTGCTCACAGCTGATGCTGTTAACGATTAAAGCAACTTGCACTAAGCTGTGTTGACAATTTGTGGGAACAAGAGGATGAGACTAGCATGAAAACTTCCATACAGTGGTGTCACATTTCAATAAACAGTTATCAAAACACAGAATGGAATCTAGATACAAAAGCTCTCATTCAAATATATTTCGAAAAGTGAAGAACATACCTTTATGAAGCCCAAACGCAACGCCATGTAGTCAACTCGGTTTATAGAACTCCAAAACTGGCGGCTGAAACAAAGCTGAACACTGAAATAGATTAAAGTTCTGTTTCAACTTCCTTCAAGTTAATGCTAGATTATAGAAGAATCAAGATTATAAAAAAGAAAACAAACATTTAAGAAGAGATTTCTTTCTCAAAATGAGAAAAACAGGACTAGACATAATATCTAGCTAGCATAACATGGTAAGAGCCAACATGTAAATTTATCAGCATGTAAAGCAGCTTTAAAGAAATGCAAATGCCAGAAAAGTTCATCTAATGTTTGGCTCCTCAATTCTCACCCTTCATGCATTTATTTACTGGTTGCATAGTAGATTATTGCGTCGAAAATAACTCACAGGGAATTAGAATTGGGGAGGAGCCTCAAATATATCATATGGAAACCATATTTAATCAAGCGGTATCCACGTTAAATGTTTTATACATAAAAAAGGTTGTCTTTCATAATACACAAACCCGAAAAGTGAGATCACACATGCACATAGAGAAGTGCAGGATTAAGACCATTTTGAGGTTTTCATATGATCTAAGAGTGCTTTTGTTCTTGAACATTTACCAAAGAGAGTGAATTACTTTGACCTACAAATTAGCACCCCAACAGTCTCCTGCTACTAAGAGTTGCTCTGCTCCCTAGAAGAAAAAAAATCAACTTACTGTTTAGTCATACTAAACATAAAAATTTCTCATTTTTTTACTAATCTAAACTATTCGTGGTCAACTTCACCATGCATTCCATTTCTGTTTGATAGTCTTGGGTTATATCAATAGCTGCAAGCTCTTTCCTATCCTTTTCTGTTTCATGCTGTATTTTCTTTTTCAGCAACGACTATATATATACATACACAAACAAACACTTACTGCTACATTCTGTTTCTCGATTCAAATCTATGAGAATTTAAATTCATTTTGTTCACCTAATTGTCCAGATACCCCTGGTTAAGCTTTTTGGAACACTGAAAGTACAACAAAAACCTACTACTCAATTCCATCCATAAAAAAATTTTAAGGCAGCATTTTGTCCACTGAGAGATAAAAGGGCTTCAGAAAATCCCCGTACCAGCCAAACAAGAAATCTATGCTGGCTCCATGGATGGGAAGTATGGTGAAAAATGAAAGTATATAATCGCGTCAATCTTATATTGTTTGGGGCAGCTTCCGTGGAGTCTATATCAAAATATCAAGAAAGGCAAAGCAACAAATACATCAGAAAAATGCACCGAGCAATTTCAATATGGCACTGGGTAATCTGGATCAAAATTGTCTACTGGAAGCTTGTGGACCTTGTAATCTCTGAACAGCCATCGATTTAGCTTGATTTTCCCATGTTTTCCAGCTATAGATCTGTATGCAGTCAGAGAAAACTGTTGATGCTCTCTTGAAAAAAACTTTGTTTCTAAGGCCGACAGAAGATGTGGCTTAGAAGGAGATATATTGACCTTGATCATGGCCATGGCAATGGTGACAAAGCTGTAAGATACATGGGTGGCACCCAGGACAAACAAGAAATGATGAAGCTGCTCAAGACTTTCATATGAAGCAAATGATTCACGGCCCTAAAAAACAGTTAACTATGTTTTAGTTTTTGCAAAAGTTATTTCAGTTATCAATGATAATCTCATACCTGCATTCAATTAGCATCTACTATCAAACTTAAAAACTAAGCAGGGACAAAATAAGAAACAAAAATGATGACCATCAAAACATTCTTTCTGGCATATTGAAACGAAAGAAGAGGTTTACAAAGAGATTTGTGCTCCAAACTCCAAGCAAAGGATTGTTCAATTTAGGATCAAGGTCAAATATGATATTGCCCTTTTCATTGTATCTAAGTATTCATGCAAAATTTCATGGGTTTTTCAAAATCTGAATCTTTGATAAGGAAAAAAAAAAAACAAAGCTTCGTGCCATTTGTGTGCTTAATCAAAAGTCACAGCTGCCCCGAATCTTTCATGTTTTCTAAATCAGTCATCAATTAACCTTGTGCGTTCTTAATATTCAGTTTATGAATCCTCATCAAAACAGAAGATTAAGCAAAACAATGGACGAACAATACGGACCAACTACAGTTTTGTATTTAAGAAAAGCCCACAACCAATCAAGATCATAACTTTTAGAATATATGAAGCTAATTGACAAATCTAGCAACTTGGCGTTGCATTCAGCCTCAAGAAAAAGCTGAAAGAGAGCACTTAAGTGGGAACTTCTACAGAATAGGGATACAGAATATGTATCCCTATTATTGATACATCAAGGCAACCCAAATGAAAAGAATGGCAAGTCAGCTGCCATTCCAGATGTAATTAACTAGTTACAAACCTAATTAGCAGAGGCCATCTTCCCCCACTGGCAGGTACTGAAAGTTGCATCTAAAAGTGCCATGCGTATTTATAAGCAATTGCCTAGATGATGTAGCTGTGTCGTTCCTGTCTTTGCAACACACTTTCCCTCCTCTAGAGCGTAAATTTACTGATAACATTGACGATCAATATGTTCACTAGGAGCAATCTTTCAAGGGGTAATTTCAAAATAATCAGCTTCAAACCTATTAACTTACATTTGGATTTAAAGCTATAAAACCATTATCAGTTTTGTGATTGCTTTTTGGTTACATGATAAGTAGATATTGGAAAGTAACTGGCATACACACATGTTTTGTTAAACAAACATCTTTTAGCTAAAGCATCAGAACAATGATAATGGAACTCCAATTAGTACCTCGGGACAAAAATCATGCTGCACAGTGTTGACTAGCTGTCGGGAACTTGAGTAATTCAAATTGTTGTACCTTGAAAAAACAGTGTGATTTATAACTACTGGCTCCCTAATATTACTTCCTGGTGCACATGGATAGAAGCGGCTGTTCATGGCGGATGATTTAACACAAATCTTGGCCACAAAAATGATCCAATGACCCATCAGCAGGGATAGAAGTCCAAATAGCATTAGCTCTACTTGCAAGAAAGAATATAATCATAAATTAAAATCCAAATGTGTCAACGAATTAAAACTGGAGTAAGTCTTATCTGTAGATGACCCTTCTCACCTTCCTTGATCTTCTCTAGTGCAGAGAGAAGGGCTTTCCTTTTAGTCCTATCCAACCACTATCAAAAAGAGAGATTAATATACACAACTTAGAGCTAGGTACCAGAAAAATTACAAGAGACTCATCAAGATTCAACAAATTCATACATGTGTGTCTTCATGTGTATATGTTTGTGAGTCTATACCTCCCTCTTCCGAAAAAAAAAAAAAACAAACGCACACACAGAATGATGGCGAAGAGTCTTTACCTTTCCAAACTGCTTCAAGGAAGTATTAATCATGAACCCAAAACAAACCATGACAGAAGTAACGGTTCCAACAGCCCATGTGGGTGTCTCAGCCAAAGATCGTCCTTCACTTTGCACCATTTCCACTCTGAACGCGATTCTGATTTTCGAATCAACAGATATTTTCAAGCATCAACAAAACCCAGAAATCCAATTTGTGTAAGGTTCACTTTTCTCCATTTCAACTCCGAATGCGAATCATATTTTTCCTTATCAACGATGTTTTGAAGCATCAACACAAAAACCCATAAATCAAATTCATCTCTAAGCCCTTTCGGGACTCTATTTTCTCCATCTCAACACAGAATGTGAACAAGATTTGCTTATCAATGATGATTTGAAGCATCAACGACACAAAACCCGTAAATCCAATTCGTCTCTGAGTCTTTTAAAGGCGTTAAAAGGTTCTAAACTAGAGCTCAGTAAAGCCGGCCATTAATGGGATCAACTGGAAGGTGGCGTTTGGTGTGCCTACATAAAAGATTGTACACGAAGACATAAAAATAGCCTGCATGGGGTGTTGTGAACCAGTAAAGCACAATGTCCCACTTTCATAAAGGTCGGTCACTTGCTGTTTGAAAAACTGTTCTCTGTGTAAAGCAACGTTGGCCAAATTTAGAATTCAAATAACACGACAGTTGATTATTTAAAATTTTTATTGGAGTTCAAATGATATCACACTAACCAAAAAAGTTCAAATCAACTGTCATGTCATTTGAACTCTAAATTTAATTCTAAATTTGTTCCATCCAGCATTACTGCTGTTCTTTTTCTCACAGTTTAATTTTTTGACTTATTACAAGTAGTTTTAAAAGAAAATATTAGTTATAGCAGTAATACCACATGCTAAAGTTATCTGATATCACAATTAATAATATTAAAATAAATAAATTTATAAAAATTAGTAACTAACTTATTATATAAACAAATAATTCATCACTCTTTTGCTACGTAAGTCCAAGTGGAATATTACCGATTAATGATATTATATCATCAATATTAACATGATATCACCGTTATTAGAGTGTGATTTAACGAGTCAAAACTCTATCAATAATATAGGTCCCTTATTTGAGGTCTTGCTATAGTACTCGGCAAAAAAAATCAGCACCCTCTAAAATTTATTATTTTTGTAGGTTTTTTTATAATATGGATATTTTTATAATTTATTATTTATGTGAATATTTTTACTATTTTTGTGAGTATTTTATCACTATAACTATTTTTATTATTTGTGGTAGAAAAAAACACCCTTTTATTCGGTACAAAAAAAAAATTACTATTTTTGTGGGCATATTTTTTATTTTTGTTGTAAATATTTTTACTATTTTTCTTTCATACCACAACAGTGATAAAAATTTTTTATCGATACGATACTAAATATTTTTTTTTTACCATAGACACCTCCCTTATTTGAAATACTAGGGTCGAGTTAGGTTCAGAGCAACTTAGGTGAAGTCGAATGTGTTGAGGGTGTCGCATCTTTGGGTGGGTGAGAATGTTCGTGGATTCCGCATCGACTAAATAAAAGTGTCATATGAATTTATAAAAGCTTGAACGGTTACATGTTCCTAGGTGTTTTTATTTAGCTAATAATCAATCTTTGTCTCATAATTAATTATTATGATATGATTATGTAAGGTATATAGTATATATGTTACTCTATATAAGGGAGGTTGTATTGTCTTTTTTGACTTAGGAGCACGCGTGGTTTGTTTGTTTATAGGGGAGGGTTAATGGTTTTTATCATTCTTTTGGAACAACTTTTAACAAAAATATGCCAACATTCCCTCGAGTCTCACGTCCGTCCGAATCCTTTGAGGAAGAATGGTCAACATATTAAATTCGGATTGATTTTGCCCAATTTCAAATGTGAATTCGAATTTCCATTTTGAAATATTGGATTTTTATAATAAATTTGAATTTAAATAATTGGTCAAAAAAAAAATCAATAGATTTCGATGAACATGATTCAAATTCGAACTATGATTCAAATTTAAATTTCAATAATACAGTCTAAAAAACTTGTTCTAATATTTGACTCAAAATTTATATTAAATTAAAGGAGACTCGTTTTTTTACTCAATCATGGGATACTCAAATCTTTATCCAAATTTTTAATGGTGAAATTTCACCATCTTTTAAAGATTTAATAGTCATCTTTACTCTATTTTAAATTTAGATTTGTCCTCATTTAAATTTGTGTTTCTCATTCTTTAAATTTAAACTTGTCCATTGAAACTCTTGATAACAAATTAAGTTTTTTACTCAAGTTTTGTATTAAATCAAATTTTTTTACTCTTTGTATTAAATCAAGTTTTGAATCATAGTTGAAGATAATCTTATAAACACACTTTGCACGTATATATGGAGAGAGAGAGAGAGAGAGGGGTAAGTGTGGATTGAAATAAAAAAAAAGGAATTAAGGAGAGAGAGAGAAGGGAAAGGAGGGAGAAGTGGGTATGAATTGATAAGATTATTTAACTTTGAGGAGTGCGTTGATTGAATTGCTTGTCATTGGAAAAAAATAATGTTTTTGGATGAAAAAAAATAATTTATAATAAATTTTGTACCATTGAATTAAAATAGATAAAAATTGATTCTATTTAGGATCGTATGCAAGGGTTCTGATATAATATAGTTGAATTATCGTTATACAATTTTCCTATCTACATACATGTTAGGTTCAACTGCAGATGATTCCAAAGGAAGATTCTCATACAATCATACCAATTACAATCTAAGAAGTCTAAAACAATGGTTACACACAAACCCATTGAAAAAAGTTTGTGTGGTTGATCTGTCAAGGACCACCCTAAGTTGGGATCAAGCTTGTAAAATATTGTTTATTCAATGCCTCGGTGTAAAGTGACTCCAAAGTGCAGATTGAATATATGAGTGTGGGTTTATTAAGCTTTTGGATTCTTCTATGATATGTTGTTGATGTTAAATAAAGTAATTAAACACTTGAACTTTTGGACCAGTTTCACCGATATTGAGCCCTATTTTATGCCCAATCAACAAAATCTTTAGGATCCATTTCATCTCAAATTTAAAATCAAACTTTCTTCGAATCTCATAGAACTTGAATTTATTTTCAAATTAGCCACCTTCCCAATATCTATTCGTCACTTTGGCGCATTTTGTTTTTAGAGAGGGACAATTGAGAGTGATATTCTCTCAAATATATTTTTTCTTTAATTTTCTTCTTGATACATCATCTACCATACATTTAAGTGAAATCCATTATATACAAGTGGATCATTTAGTTAGTGTAAACCCCACACTTTTTTCTTTAGATATATATATATATATATATATGATAAAAAAAAAATTCGAGTAAATAGTAGTTAAAACTTAATTTTAGCTTGTAAATATAAGAATCGTTTATAATAGAACTTATACTAACTATGTTTGATGTACAAATGTATGTTATGGAAGTTTGAGTTGGCTTTGGAAGGATTAGAAATAGATTGAAAATGAAAAACAGATGAAAAAGGCAAAAAATTGGACAAGCGTACCGGTACGTTGAACTCCAGTAACTTATACGTACCGATGATACTCCCATTAAAAAAATCTGATTTATTCAGATGACGAATAGCCGGGCCTCCTTCCACTATAAATACTTAAGAACGCATTCTTTAGCCCCATTATAACACCTCTAACCCTAGAAAACCTTAGAGAGGAAGAAAGGAAGAGAAAAACACAAGATAAAAAGGATTTACACTTTAAAGAAGATCACAACTTCAAATTTTTCAAGAACACCTTTTTTCACCCATTTTCTTCAATTCTTTCACTTCACTCTCACTCAAATCTCTTAGAACCCAGGAGAAGATAAGAAGAGAACAAGAAAAGGGAGGAAGAGAGTTGCTAGAGCTTGGGTTAGCTTAGAAATTCGGATTCAAGATAGGGGTTTCTTCCTATTCTCTTACATTAAGGTTAGGGCTTATATATATGTGTGTACTTCTTGACTCTAAATCATATATGTATGATATAAAATCTTTGATTCTTGCTATTCTTGCAATTATTACCATATTTTAAACAATGTTATGGTTGGGTAACCATTAAATCTCTTTTTCTCATCTTCAAACCCTAGTTTCCAAGAGAAATAAATTTTTCTCTTGACTTTTTTTTTTGTTCTTGATTTCAAAATTTTAGTGTTTTGTAATGAACAATAAAAATGGATTGTTGACGATCTCTTGCTTATTTTCTTAAATTATTCTTTTGTAATATAAATTGTAAAATTTGAGAATTTTGGATTTTCTTGTGATTTGAGAAAATATTTGTTATTGCATCTCTTATATGGTTGTTGTAATGGACTTGACTTGCATTCGAGCAATGTCGTAGAATGTTAGAGGTTAGTTTCTTTCGGTGGGGGTGAAATGGTTTCCTAACATTTGTAGTAGTTTGTTGTTTGTGAGAGCAACCACTATTGTTCACGTAAGTTCGAGGCTGAGGGATGATATACCTTTTTTGGGAAGGATTTGTTAATGCCGTAAGAGACGATATACGCCCTTCCTAAAATGTTTGGGATTGTGTGATTATGGTGGGTGAACGAGGTAGATTCGTGGTGTAGAAGAGGTCAAATATATTTTTTAAATTTTGGACAAGAGGAGGAGATCGGAGTCGATGAGCCAATACATTGGGAAGTTCCAATAGATGGACACGTGGATCCTGAGGTGGATGCTTAGGGCTATACTCTCCTATGTGATAGACTAGAAAATTCCTTTTGAGACTATGTAAAATCTAACCTTTTGTTATTCCGTTGTAAAATTCAAATTTGATTCTGTTAGATGCAATTGTCATAGTTCAACATATTCTTTTGGATGTAATAGTCATGATGTGGCATATTCTTTTGGAATAATGTTGTAAATATTATGTATGAGAATTAAATTATCTTTATTTATGGATTTTATTAATTGCTCTCGTGATGTGAATAATTTTTAGATTGTAATACCGTCTAATGTGGATTTTGGGGCGTTACAGTTAGTAATAGTGGGTCCTTCATTCATTAATGGTGAATGATGTACTAAGAAGAGAATTGAAGAAAAAGTGTATTAGAGATGAAGTAAATCCAAACAACTGATCCTGGTATAACTTGCAGCTATGTGAGAGAATTGCTATAAGAGAGAGAAAATGGAGAAAATTTAATTAGATGTTAAGTAGAACTTGGCCATATGATTTTTGATCCTTTAAAGTACTTCTCAAGAGTAGTTGTTACCGGGCAAGTTTATTCTATCAGTAACATCATAATCTTCTTTTTACTTGCTTGAGCAAAATGAAGGAAGATTTGCCCACCAGGCACCATGACTTGGCTTATGAATCTATGTGAAAAAATTGAAAATTTACCAACCTAGGCATGTTCAAAAGCTCACTCGTTTTGAAATTTGATAAATTTGTATATTACAATTTCTATCTTTAGAATATGGCAACAATCTCATTCTGTCCATTCAGCTATTGAAATTTTCACAACACTATTATTTGAATTGATTTCCCAATGATCCAATCCCAAATGCTACATGTTAAATCTTGGGGCAAAATGAAACAAAATCCCACAATCTAAGCATGAAAGTGACACAATTCTCTGCATAGTTTTTAATGTATATTTGCGATAGAGTAATGAGAAATTAATTCAAAGGAATAGCTTAAGTAGTAATAGAGACAAGATGTAAATCTAGATGTCCCGAGCTCGAATACCTTAATCCCGACGTAGATGACTTGCATTTGACCGGAGTAAGGAAAAAATTAATCGAGGTGCATGTAAATTAGCCAAGACACCCTTGATCGTTGAACTTAAAAAAATGTAGAGATGCTATGCTAGAAACATGTCATTCGAGAGGATACCTTGAGACAAAATTAGCTGTTAAGGAGACCAGATTATAATTTTAAGTTGCTAAATTATTGATAAATTTATTGTTTATGATATAACAATAAATCAAATGTATTTTGCAGGGGAAATCAGAATCTCCATTGTTGATGCATGCAATGGAGGTGTCATAGTCAATTTAATAGATTACAGCTCTGCTTTTGGCCTCGTCACAGCAAAACCATTCTCTACCCATGCAGCATAGCCTCCTCCCAAATTATACACATGTTTGAACCCCTGCAGGTTTATTTGAGCAAGTTAGCTTTCAATTTACCATGAAAATAAAGGAAGAACTTGTTCAGTACATGGCAACTGAAATTCAGAACTTTATCACTTATATAACCAAATGGGTTTAAATGATGCAAGGTGGTGGTATTCAATATACCCATGTACATGGGTTAAAGGATACTATAGCTGTTGGGTTAGAATTTGAACCCAAAACACAGTACTAACCATAAAAGACATAACAAATAAGGTATAAGTAGGCTCTAGGTACTATTTTACTCTATCCCACCCCTGAATATCCTTCTAATCCACAAAACAAACACACCCCAGAGTAGTATATGGAGGTTGATTTCAATGCTTGTAGAAAAAAAAAATTACCATGAATCATACATTTGGAGTTTGGTGAAAAGACTATTCTACATAAGTAATAAACATTTCCAATACTTGTTTGCAAAAAATGGAAACTTATCCCTTGAAATGTTAACAAAACAAAAAGACAATGGAAAATATAAGTGAGCAAAAAGGGGGAGGAATAAACTCACCTCGTTAAGAAGATCAGTAGTTGCATATACAGACCTTACACCACTTTGGCAGCCCTTCACACATAAAAATAATTCATCAATCAGACACCAAAGAACCAAAAAAATGTCCCAATTACCTAACTTAGTAATGTAAACAAATTCAATTTTTTCCCTATTTAGTTTAGGCCAGCGATTTGGACGGTGGCTAAGAGTCAAAATATGATGCATCCCGTTACCAACTTAATACGACACAAAATTAGAAGAGTTAGAGTCTTCTTTAAGTCACCTATTTCATTGGCGTAAACCTAACCCGACACGATTACGATTAATAAACGAATGAAAAAAAATTAGTCAATAGAAATACATGACACACTTATTTATGTTCAAGTTATATACAATCTATATATGACACACACGAATTTGATATAAACATAATTTGTTAGACACAAAGTAATAAATGATTAGATATGAGAGAAATATTTTTTAACACAAACCTGCGTCACTCGATACGATCGACTTACTACTTCGATGCCCGACTGCCACTGCCGATGGACGGTAAAATATGGGGCCAAAATTGTTGTCGAAGTTGAGAGAAAATGTTCAATAATAATTGACACATTTATCACCAATCAATTAAAATCAAACTCAATGAACCCCACTATTCAAGATAGTTTAACTATTGCATCAAATGTCTTAGCTTTCAGGTGGGATGAAAGCGAGTCGGATAAATGTTACTATTGGCTTTTCCTTATTGACTTTAAATCATGGTGACCAAAATACCACATACATTCCGACACCTACCTAGTTTAAATGCAAATTTACTATTTCTAGAAAAGGATAAGTTTTTATTTTTACCACCACAAGATGATCTTCCTTCTTGCAAGCTGATAAAATCTGCTCCATAAATTTGGGGTTCTTTACTCTGCCTGAAATACAATATCATCATAAAAATGTCAGTAATTGGCAAAAAAAAAAAATAATAATCAGGGAAATTACTACCAACATTACAAAAAATAAAAATAACAATCCCAAAGGTCACTCAAGTGATAAATTGAAAACACCTCAAAGTGGTAACAAAAACAACACGTAAACTCGGACGTCATGGGAGTTCAACTATTGACGACTTGGGACGAAAACACGAGAAATTTATCTCTTATGAACCGTTAAACCAAAAAAATATAAAAATGAAAAAACAGAGGATAGGTAATAGCCAACTCCTAGGGATGAGGCCACTGGGAATTTAAGCCTTATGGGACACACTCATCGTTAAACCAAAAAAAATATAAAAAAGAAAAGAGGATAGGCTAAATAAAAGGATGAGGCAAGAATTGACCTTCCTTGGTGTTGAACATGTAAGGAATGTTCAAAGAGTTCTCTACATGCCCCTTCTTAAACTCTTCTTCAGTCCTGTTAATTCAATTAATTCCCAAATTAAAGAAAAATCACAACCAAGAAATTTTGAAGAAACCGATAAAAATTTGAAACATGGACACAACATAATTAGAGAGAATTTGGATAGAGAGCGAGAGAGACCTGACATCGAGATACTGATGACCCGAATGGAGGAGATCTTTAGCTTTATGAATATCAATTGTCACAATTTCTGAACCCGAGCTACAAAACAGACGCAGAAGAAGAAGAAGAAAAAGAAGAAGAAGACTATGTCGACGATTACCCAAGACAACCCAAGAAGCACCCATAATTTGAATTATTTGGTGAGTTTTTTGTATACCTTGATTGGCAGTCCATGAAGATCACGAGTTGTTTTTATATGGAGGAGAGGGGAGATGATCTTGTATTCAGTGGATTACAAATCTATTTGCTGTTTGATTGATTTGGGAGAGAAAACCAGCTGAAGATGGGGAAAAATGTGGGCTTGTGATGGGTTTTTCACACTGTTTGAATGGTTGGCTGGCCTATACCTTTCAGTGGTTACATCACTATTGGGATGACGACACGGTTCTTCTCCACTCATTGTGCTGGCTTGTCTGCGGTTATGGTCCGGTCATGGTCCAGTTGGCGGGAGGAATAAAAAATTAAAAAAAAAATACGAGAAATAGACTTTTTATTTTTAAAAGAAAGAAAGATGTTTTTTTATCTTGTGTTTAACAAGAATGACGAAAAATAGAAGAAATAAAATTATTTTATTTGGTATAAAAAATAACAAAGGATTATTATTAATAAAAAATCAAAAATACTTTTTATAGAATATGAATAATATATCTGACTTGAGACACGGGCTCCGAAGGAGTACATGGTAATTAACTCCTACATAAAAGCTGTGGACTCCATATCGGCCAACTGTCAGCCGGTGTTGCCATTTTCTGCAAAAAAAAAAAAAAAATGGAGGGATAATAAATTGTTTTTCTTTCTTTCCATCTTTGCTTTTTAATCAAATAAAAAAAAAATATATTTTTTATCCTACTTTTCATCCATTATTTTTTATTCATTCTATTTTTATCGATACCAAATATCACAGGAATAAATTATGTTGTTAAGTTTAATGACGCCGTTTTGGATTCCACAAATCAATGACACCGTTTTCTCGCGCTGTCATCAGCATCCTAATTTCAAACACTAATACTAACAGAACGAGATGGAAATAATGAACCTTCAAAAAATAGAGGGACTAATGGCTCCTCTTCTACAAATGTCAACTACAACTTCGTGGACGTCTTTAGGCGGAAAATTGGCACAATCTTCTGCGGAGAAATCATCAACATCATCATTGTCTTTTGGAGGTGAATCATCATCTTCTTTTGAAAGCAAATCATTCGTATCATTAGAGATGTTGTGCTCATCACTCCAGGCAGCTGTGTACATTAGCATGTTGAGGAGGACTGATGAAGGACACTGTTTTTTTGTTTGACTGGTTTTTACTTGATGACGAGTCAGAGGAGAAAATTCTCTCTTGGATTCTAGAGTCCCAATCTAGATGCGATCAGTTGTCCGGTGCCACAATATTTGATTTAGAATATATTTTATTCGATTATTGGTGGGTTCGATATGAACTGCCTGCACCGTAGAGATGCCTGATCTTCTGATGTATATTATGTTGATACTTGTAAACCCGACGAGACCGAAGAAAGGGTCATTCCATGCTTAAACCAAGAGGCTTTATCAACATTTTTTTTTTGGAGGGGGGGGGGGGCTTAAAGGTTGATGTACCTCAAACAGGTGAAGTTTTTGATCCAACCTTGAATTCTTGGTTTGTGTTGCAACTGTTCTATTATAACTTGGTCTTTGTTGTAATATTTTGGTTTAAATGATCAGTCTGTATTTGGTGTTGTTGTCACCAAAATAAAATTGTGGCATAACGCCCGGTTGTACAACATAAATAATAAGTTAACTAACAAACAAATTAATATGCTAGAAATTGTTAAATACAACGACAAAGAAAATACAAATTAAAGATAACAAAAATTCACCAAGTCCCACATGCTGGCAACTTCCTTTATATGTTGCTTGGGTTGTTGTTGTCCCTCAGGCAGATTTAGCATTTTCTGTGCCAGTTGTGACACTCCCACATCTACACGATCATGCTTATGGTTCTCACGACCCTTAACTCCACGCATTCTGTGTGTAAAAGTGAAGGCTCTTGGGTCACTGCCTCAAAAGGACCCTCATTAACTCTTGCAGAGTGGTATATGGAATGGAAGCGATAGGTCGATGAGTCATCGGTGGAACATTCGATGGAATTCACATCATATCGAGGCAATGATGTATTTGACTGAGCATCAACTTGAGTTACATCTCTTATATCAATTGTCTCCTACGAAGGTGTGCATGGTGACGGTGATGTAGGTACGTATAGGGTATAGGGTGGTCGACGGTAGAATAAACGGTATGACTGTAGGTGTCACCAACTGTCCAAGTATCAAAAGTGCATACTAAGACAAAAATGCTATTTCTTGGCCATTGGATCAGCAAGGGTGTGATTTAGATGGATCATGAGGAGAAATAGTCTTTCTTTATTCCTTCGGTCAATATAGCAGATATAACTCATTCGAATTTGCTTGCTCGACTGGGGAAATCCAACAAAGCAGGCATCAGAGGTGAACCGTGCAATACTCCAACAAGATGAATTTCTCTTGGTAAGTAAGAAGAATTGTGTCTAACCTGATCCAATATGATAAAAAAAAAGAAGTTTTTCCAAGTTCACTCATTTGACTTAATAGTAGTCTCAAACATGGATTTGGTCACATTATGTCTGACTATGAGAATACTTGATCATTCATCTTCCGTATCCAATTTGGATCTTGCGTGGGACATGAACTTCTCTCATGTACCAAAGTTTAATTTCACTTTTCACGCAAGATTTATTCTAGGCCTAAATGTCCTATTCAAATACGGGATAAATGGACAGACAATAAAAATAATTTATATTTATATTTATACTACTTGTAAAAATATCTTAATATAAAAAACTTTTAATTCTTTATTTTATCCTTATAAAGCATTGCAAAGACAATTTTATCATTTCACAATTAAAAATCTAAATTATCATCATATCTTTTTGTATTTAGATCTTCAAATTACATCTAATATTTCCTTTTATTCTCTATGTATAAATATTAGTTTCTATGAAACTTTTTGATTAATTATATTATCCTTAAAAAATATGCATTATTATATTTTCAATAAAATGTTAAAAAAATATTTAAAAACTCCATAATGCAAAGATAACATTATGCCTGTATATGTGTATTTTTTTTTTCATCAAAAAATTTAACCCTTTTACTTTTAAGATAAAAAAAGAATTTACTGACCTAATTTGCTAACTTAATTTATTATGATTTTTGGATTGACTGTGGGCTCCATCGAACATTGGAACTTGGTGTTAAGTCAATGGTTTCAATGAAATCATGTCATTAAGTCAGTAAATTATGTCAGATTTTTAGGTCCAAATAGTATTTTACTTACATATATAGTTTTTAAAAATCAATTTATGTTTTATTATTATAATTTTTCAGTCACAATAAATTTTCTAAGTTGTATTAAGATTTTATTTAAAAATAGATTGTGGAGTATTTTTAAGTAAAATTTGTATTTTTTAGAATGCTTTACAATATATAGAGTAATATGTTAAATTTTATCACAATTGACCAAACTAATTCTTAATTATAGTAAAGTTTCATTATGATTAGTATATTGACAATTATTTTATTTTATTTAAAGAATTATAAGTAGAATCCTAATCAAATGAATTTAAAAAAATTTAATTTTTCAAACACTATTAAAAAATTACTCTCACTCACAATATTCTAAAAAACATAAAACTTTAACTATTTATTTTAATCTTTCTTGTTATAGTTAGAACAATGAATTTTAGGTGCGTACAAAGTTCTTATAATCTTAAAATAGAATATGAGCAATGAAAAATTAAGTTTGACATGATATTTAATTCAAATACACATATACCTAATATGTTTTTATCAATTTTTGTATACTAAAATTATTCACATGGTGCATTGCTAGTCCAAATATATAAGGTAAAAAATGGTCCTCAAATTATTAGTATTGTGTTAGTTTGGTCCCTAATTTTTTAATTATGTCAATTTAATCTCTTAACTTTTTAATTTATGTTACTTTGGTCTAATAAAAAATGATAGCTAAAATTTAATAATGGAGATTATCATGTGTATCTTATGTGATCTCACTTAAGACGCATTCTTTAAAAACTTTTAAGGATAAAATTGACAAAAACTATAAACTTGAAGAACCAAAATAATACAAATTCCAAATCTGAGGGACCAAAGTGACACTTCAAGTGTGATCACATAAACATCTTCGTTAGTCAATTTAAATTATTATTTTCTATTAAACTAAAAAATTGAGAGATAAAATTAATACAACTCAAAGATTGAAGACCGACACAACCCATAATATCAATATACTAGGATTAATCTGTATCTAAACACGCGGGGTAATGTAAATCAACCGCCTAATTTGAAAAAGTAGAGATCTGATAGAGAGAGAGAGAGAGTGAAGAGTGAATAGTAAAATTCTATGTGAATGATTTTAAAAAGAATATTAATGGTACTTAAATGAGTTTATTTGAAACCGTTGAATAAATTTATTAAAATATATCCTATTTTATATTATCAATTACCGATTTTACTCAATTATATATTTGTACCCAGCCAAACCCATTCGGCTTTTACGCGTACCAAACAAACCGCGACAAAGATTGCTCTGCAACCGCGACTCCACTCTCGCCAAAATCTTCAACTCGGCTTTTTCTCTCTCCATAAATTTCAGGTAGGGTTTCGGAAGTTTTAGATTCAATACCTGTTTTTTCCCCCTGTTTTCCGTATTGCGTTCTTCAAAAAAGAAGAAGAAGAAGATTTTTTCCATTTATCCTGCCTAATCTTTTAGGTTCTCCAGCGGATTGTTTGATTTGCTGGTACTATTCTCCTATAGTTTAACTATCAATGGACGTGGAAGCAACCTCAAATTTGCTATTGCCAGAAGCATTTCTTGACTTCCTTACTGAGAATGGTCTCGATCCTTCAATATATACTGCAATTGATTCGATTCCTCGTTATATAAGGTACTCTTAACCTCAGTCTTTTTGGTTCGTTTTGCATTGTATTGTGAGGAAGATTTTAAATTAGATACGTTGGCAACTTATAAAAATTTGCATGCCATTAAAACCCCAAAATTGGGTATTGAAGAATCTAGTTGCCCCTTGCATGTGGGAAAAAAAGGAACTGTTGAAGTGAAAATAATTAGTTGTTTGTGATTGTTTATTTTTATCCGGACCTTGTGGATTTTAGTTTTTCTGCTTATGTATTTTGTTTGTTTTATGGAAGGTTAAAACCTGGTTGTGAAGCTTATGTTGAAGAGATTGAAGGTGAGATTAAATGTAAGCTTGAGAAAGTGGGTTGGATGCCCAATTTCTACTCTCTTCCACCTCATATTCAGATTGCTAACTCAAAGGCATATCAAGAAGGAAAGGTGACCTTTGGAGTTTTCTTCTAGTGATATTATTATCTGTCTGATGTATTACTGTGTCGCCTCAAAGAGAGGGATTCTTCTTAGCTTTCCAAGTGCATGTTTGACAAAGTCCTGAGTATTCGTTTTCCTTGTCTGGGGATGGATGTTGACGATTTTTTGTCTTTATTTTTTTCATTCCTGCTGTTTAATTAGTGTATAATTGATTGATTCTTTTTTTTATTTCTATTCTGTCTACTGGCTGAGGCATAAATCAAAATGTTACTTTTTGAAGTTGACCTTTACAAGTACACACTCACACATATTGTAAATGTTTTCCTGTTTTGGTTTTTTACTCAGATATATGGAATTGATGCTGCATCTGGAGCTGCTGTTTCAGCTTTGAATATTTCAGCCGGAGATCACATATTAGATTTGTGCGCTGCTCCTGGTTAGTTTTGATGGTCAATTGTAGTTAAGTTTGAACTTCCAACTTTATTAGTCAGTTATGATGGTTGATTGATCTAATTTGATACCACTTAAGCTTAAATTTTAAAACTTGGACACCTCAAACTATTCATTAGCGCTTGGCAATGTTCTTGAAAGAGTCCCACCTGTCCCTAAGAACCAAGTGGACTCACAACATTGGTGTATATCTCAAAGTAAGAGGATGCATGCATAAAAGGAAAATAAATTTTCTCTTGAAGTAATGGGTTTTGACACCATCTAGTCCATCCCGGCCTACTTTGGAATTGTAAAAGGCTTAGTTAGTGTTGTAAAAGTTATGTTGTCTGCAGGATCCTGGAATGATACTTTCTTTTATCCAATTCTCCAGAACATAGACTATTGGGCTAATATCGAGTTTCTAGTTGAAGGTTCATTTTTTCGTTGATACAGGGGCATCCTAGTTCCTAACAATTTTTAGGAAGGTCACATTATATTTTAAAAGCATTTACATATCACCTACAGCACTGCATTTAGCACCAGTGCCGGCCCTAGGCATAGGCCACTAAGGTGGCTGCCTAGGGCCCCTGGTGTTAGAGAGCCCCCAAAAATTTAACCCATAAGTATATGAGGCACATTTTTTTTCCATTTTTGAGTTTCCGATAGGACCCTAATTTTTAGGGGCCAAAATTTTAAGAGGCCAAATCAATACCTAGCTTTGTTAAGCCCAAAGTTACTCTCCATTTGGTTAAGCCCAATAAAATCTCTAAAATAGAAACCCTAGTGTGAATATTAAACCTAATTCTGCCCCCCAAAAAATATCCTCCTCACGCTCTTTGAACAACTCTGCTGCTCAATGTCTCTCTCTCTCTCTCTACATCTCTCTCTCAACGCATCTCTCTCTCTCTAAATGGCGCTTGTGTTTGGTGGTTGGTGCTCACAACGACACAACTCATAATATTTCTTATATAGTAGCACCTGTAAAGTGTAAACTAAAAGGTAAATTTTTTTCTTCTTTCTTATATGTATCTTGCACAACAATACATGGGAATCTCAATAAATTTATATATAATATATGTTTTTGTTCCTTTATACAAAGATCTGTAAATATTTTTTATTAAATATTTCATCTAATTTATTAATGATTGTGCTGACAACTAACAAAATCTTTATTGTTGTGCAAGATAGTTCATCTAGTTTAATAATGACTCTTATTTTACTGTTGGATTAATAGTGATTGTGCTATAAATTTTTTTTATCTGTCAGTAATGGTTGGTCGACTGGGCTTTAATTTGTGGTGCAAAAAGATTAAAGGATGATATTATTAGAAAATATAATTTGGGGGTTTTGCTTTTGCGAAGTTGTGTTGTTTCTAAACTTAATATTTTATTTTATTTCAATTCTAGCAATTATAAAGTTATGTTTTTTTTATTTGTAAATTAGTTTTTAATCGTTAATATGTCTAATATGACTATGGCTATGAAAAACGTTAAAAAAAGAAAGAGAAAAAAGAAGATGAATTCATTCAAGCTCAAAAATGGGTACTTCATAAATTTATTATCAGTGTTAAACAAAACATTAGTTGAAATGGAAGTGATAATTTATAGTGAACAACAACAAAATCATGCAATCGAAACAAAAGAACATAAAAGAGATTCACAAGGAAATGAATCAGAAAAGGAATGTGAATGTATTGATAAAAAGTATAATTTTGTTCCTACAAATATATATGGTCTGGAAAATTGGAAGAATATTTATACAAAATTAATGGATTTATTAGTAGAAAAAGGTCCAATTAGTTAAATAAATAAAAAATTAAATTATGATAATTAAAAATTATATATATATATTAATATATTAATACACAAAATATTAGTAGGGACCCGTGTAAAGTTTTCACCTAGGGCCCTATTTATGTTGAGCTGCCCTTGTTTAGCACAATCAAACCAATATGTCATAGTATTTAGTAAATATGATGCAATCTTCTAGTATTTTTTTTTCGGGATGAATGACTTACATAACATGAGATATTTATTTTATGCACCATCTACGATATGTGGATTTCCTGTTCAAATTTTCTATGGCAATATAATTCACCCAAATTGATTTGCCTTCTATTCAATACGTTCAGGTGCCAAATTATGTATGATGGTAGATGTTCTTGACAGCTTGGGTTCTGTGACTGGTGTTGATGTGGCAAGACATCGGTTAGCAGCCTGTAGAACTATGCTGCAGAAGTATGGACTTGGTGATTGTTGCCGTCTGTTTGTTGCTGATGGAACAACATTTTCTTTAGTTCCTACCAGGGCTCATTCAGATTCTCAATCAGGTAATATATCTGAGAAAATTTCTCATATAGTCCCACAGGCTCAAATTGTGATACGACTAATTTTGTTGCTGATTAGTTCTACTTATCTCCCTGTTTTGAATTATTATCATTCTTTCTAGTATTAAACAGGTGCATCTGCTCCGCAAGAAAAGTTTGATGTATACAAGGAGTGGAAATCTAGAAGACCATGGAAAGAAAGGAAAAGGGCAGCTAAAGTAAGGGAAAATGGTGCTTCACAATTAGTTTCTCGGATTCAAGATCCAGAGCTTATATATTACGGAAGACGTTCTGGAGTGATTGGAATCAGTAGACATGAATTATATCAAACTGTGGATAGCAACGAGCTTCTGCACTGTGGCTATGACAAGGTAAATTCAATTTTCTTGTTACTCAATATGTATTTTTCTTTTTCCATTTTTTTTTCAATTTAAGTTGTGATTGCTTTCTCTAATCCACATGTTCATTCTCAAGTCAAGCTGAGCGTGTTCATTATGAGTATCTTGAGACATTCTCTATGTAGATGGCTTAATTTTCTTTTTAGTGGCTGGAAGGTTTTCATGTACTTCTGTTTCTTCATTATGTTGAAAAAGCTAATGACTGGTGGTACATAAATCAGGTCCTGGTGGATGCAGAGTGCACACATGATGGTTCAACTAGACACATCCAAAAATTTGAACAATGGGGCTGGACAACGCTTCAGCGTCGTGTATTATGTGCAGAAAGAACTGATGACTTGACTGTGCTTCAGGTAACTTGTACAACTTTAGCTTCAGACAGACATCTTTAGTTATGGTGCACATGTTATCCACTCGAGCCAGCAACTTCTGGGGGCTTGTGCTCCTAGAAGTTTGTCATTTCTTGGTATTGCAATATTATTTGTTACCTTTTAAATCTAAAGTGGCTTACACAGTTATGTTTACCCTAGTTATGAAAAGAGTTCATATCATTGTTAAAAGGAACTAGGTTATTAAGTTACTACTGAGGATTTTTAATATTGCATTGAATAAGTTTGACCCCAAAAAAAGAAGTTTGAGCTTTTGCGGTTAACAGTTAAATTTTCACCAAATAAAATTTCGTTTCATGAAGTATCAAGTTCATCAGAAATGCTATTTTTGCATATTCTGACTCTATGGCATTAAGGATTCATACAGGTGCTTTCTATTTCGTGTTGACTTGTGGTATTTGGGGTTCCAACCCATTTGCTTTCATCTCCCAAGGATTCACCTTTCAAATGTTACTCCTGTATTGTCTACCGCATATGATTGTAAAAGGGTGCTGGTGAACTTGTATTATGCTGTATTCAGGGTACCTCTGCGTGCCCTAGTGATTTTTGTTGTTTCTTGTAACTTAGAAGTGCAGCACCACTTTTGTGAAAAGGACTCAATATCTAAAAACGATTTCAGTCATTTCTTCACAAAGATTGCGAGCTTACTCTGCCTGCTAACCATCTGCCATCTTCATTTGTGTAGATCAGCATGTGGCAACTAAAAGTTTGTTTCGTTGAGTTATATGGAATTAACATCACATTTCTGGGGACTGGCGACCTTCCCTTTTCTTCTCCTGCTCCTCTTCCCCTTACTTGTCCTCCATCTCATTTAAGCTATGTGTTTTGTTGTTGCCTTGCAGTTACGTCTTCTAACCAATGGCTTTAGATTGCTAAAACTTGGAGGATTTCTTGTCTACAGCACTTGCAGGTTTCATCTACAGGCATTACAGTATCTTTTTCCTTTTCCCTGGATAAGGCATCTTATAACCCACTTTTGGATTTTATCTTTTGATGATGGAATAGTTTAACAGTTTCTCAGAATGAAGATGTGGTGAATCAGTTTCTTTTACAAAACGCTTCTGCCAGTTAAGTTTTGTTTGGTTCTTCTAAATCTAGCTGATAAATATCATGTTCTGTACCTTCGTATGATCATATGTGGCTTACTCTATAATGTTGGCATAAAACGGATGTTGGGTATTTTAACGAGCAAATGCTTGCTCTGGAAACCCATTGCATAATTTGAAACGCATCCCCAAGTGGTTTGGTTATGCATATGCCCTTATATAGTTTCAGTTGCAACAAATGGATTCTTTTTTGTCTTTTGCTCTCGTCTGACTTGTGCAGTATATTCTCTTATTTTGTAGAGTTGCTGGAGATTGATGCTGTGAAAAATTGGCCTTGCAAGAGTGGGCGGATACCAAAGACCTTACGCTTTGATCCTTCAACTTCTCGAACTAGTGGACTTTTTGTTGCAAAGTTCACAAAATTGGCGATTCAATGAAGATTGGTTCTTGCATATTCATTTGTAAATATGGTCCAAAGAAAAGAAGATATGATGACAAGACTTGCTGTGTGTCACTGGTTCTTTTGCTCTACTGGAACTGTAAGATCATTGGTCAGGCTACCTATCCTATTTACGGGCGTTTCTCTCTCCTCACTTCGTGAAATATGACTGACACCACTGTTGTGAAGAAGATATGTTTCTTATTGAACTGTCCACTAAAGGGAAAGGGGGCAATTTCTACTGCTTTGCTAGTTGCTACCAAACCCTGTTTTTCGTTGTAATACTACTTGAGATGGATCACTTGTCACTGAAGTTGCAATTGCGACCCGTTCTCGCTGCCAATGCTACTCCAGTTTCCATGATGCTTATCGTTCTTGCACAAGCAAGTCCCTCTTGATGTGATTCTTGAAGATCATCAAACTCCAAAAAGGATTTATCACAGTTCTACTTCAGAGCATGGGTAAGGATACCTGAGACACCGGCAAAGAAAGCCCTGTCTCACATTTCTTGGAGGAGATTTATAGCTATGGTTTTTGATTAAACAAGAGCTGGGTAGTCTTTGATCTTCTTGTCAGCTAGAGTCCTTGTGTTATTTGATTGCATAAATGCTGGGAGTCCAATACTAATACCTCTTGACAACAGCCAAAACACTTGGTAGTTAGCAATGTTGCCATTGAATTTTTAGAGCAACTCCAAATGACTCGGTAAAGAGTCCTTAGCTATTTTAGATAGCTTCTCTTTAAAATGTGGCTCCAACAGGCTATTTATTTTACTATCTATTTTTCATAACCCATTATCCACTTGTTATGTTTGGTGAGCCACTTCATTGTTTCTTGCGCCAATTTCCTCTTCTTCCCTCTCTCTCTCTCTCTCTCTCTCTCTACACACACTTAGAAGCTACATAGTGTAGAAGCTCCACAACACCCAAATTTTGTCTTTATCAATCACAAAAGCTTCATCATCCAATCGAGTCTCTCTCTCTCTCTCTCTCTCACACACAGAAGCTCTGTATTTATACAATAGAAAAACCTGCTAAAAATTCATTGAATTCTCACAAAAAATATATGAAAATCGACCAAAAATTTATTGAAAACCCACAAAAAATCCATTGAAATCCCGCCAAAAAAATCCATTGAAAAACCTACTAAAAAATCCACGAAAAATCAAGCGAAATTTGTCTCAGTTCCCACTGAAGATCGACTGAACCATTGAATCTGTCTCTTGGTTCTGTGTGTGTGTGTGTGTGTCTTCACTCTGTTCCGATGTGGTGGAGAGAAGAAATTAGAGGTAATAAAATTTTCTTATCATGAAAATTTTTGTTTGGGTTGTGTGGATTGAGTTGTTGTGGTCCATTGCTTGGGTTGTGTGGAATTTTTCTGGTTGGCTATGAATTTTTTCTGGATTTTTTTTGGTTTTTTGGTTTAGCAATGAATGACAAAATCTAAGAAAATGGTTTGAACTAAAAACATGGTCTGTGAAAATTTGTGAATTGTGGTTGAATTAGTTAGTTAAAATAGAGAGCGTTGTTGGATTGAATTATTAGTAGTTGCTCTCTAAAATAGATAATATAATAAAAAATATATTTTGAATAACTATTTTAATTAGTATCGTTGGAGTTGCTCTTGTAGAATATTTTCACCATTATCTTTATAACTGGCGTTTCAGAAAGTTAAGAATTCGAGTCGTACATTATGGTATATTAGGGTTAATTTGTGTCTGAAGGTATGATGTAATATGAATGATTTTGAGAGAGATATTAGTGGTCATTAAATGAGTTTATTTGAAACTGTCAAATAAATTTATTAAAATTTATTTTATTTTATATTATTATGAATTGGTGTAAATATTTTGTCTTCTTAGTAAGTAAGGGGAAAAAAGTCTACATTTTTCAAGATACTAGGAAGGAAAAAAAACGGCTATATTTTTATCTTTCGTTATGTCTGGTCTTGCGGCAAGGGAAGGGTAAGGGACAGAATGTAGAAAAGGGTACAGGTGGGATTCACATAATTATCATTCATACAGTAAAGTTGGAGCACACAAGGGTCCATCTGTCCACCTTTCACATCATACATGACATAAAACACAATTTCTGGTTTGTCATCCAGAATGGAGGACGAATCGTGTCCAACGAAATATAACTCGACAATCTTTCACATCATACATGATAAAGAAGTACCTGGCCACTCATTCAGGGGAAAGTATATGGTATGGCCTTTCAAGCTATATCGTCGCTTATTATTTTTATAATAAAATTATAATTTTTTAAAAAAAAATTACAATTATTTAAGAGAAATTTATAATTGATCAAAGAGATCACGATTGATCACAGATACATACGATCGATTATAAACTTTTTCTAAACAGTTGTAACTTCTCCCTTATGAGTTATACTTTGATCTTTAAAATTTGTAATTTCGTTATCTCCACTCAAGTTTACTTCAAGACACTCCAAACTAAGCATAATAGAGTAAAGGGAAATCTTTTTCAAGGATGTGAGTTGTAGATATGGTGATCCTGACATCTGTAACAAAAAAAGAAGAATATATATATACTATTATAAAAAAATAATTATCTCAATCAGGTCGAAGATGAAAAAGGTAGAAAGTTAAAACAATCAATGATGATTCTTTTTTCCTAAATTCCTTTCATTTTTTATTTTTGGGAGTTTAGTTAATGAATTGATACAAAATGAAAATAAATAAAGAAAGATACTTGTGACAGAGAAGATAAAAGGTTATTAATTGTAGGTTTTAAAAGTGCGTATGTGAAAAAAATTGATATTGTAATTATTCATTATGATATTAAAATCTTAGTAACCCAACAATCAAGATTGTTTATCCAAAATTTAAATAGTAGCCAATAATAAAATAATTGCAACAATTATTATGATATAATAATGTTATCAATTATAAAAAGGTATGATAGACATTAGTTTGTTTGTTAATATTATTTTGGTTTAACGAATATTTTTTTTACTTTTGTTGATATTTAAAAGGAGTATAAATTTGTGAATCTTTTTTTTATCACTGTTGTGAGTGTTGTTATCACTATTATGGTAACTATTTTTATTATTTTTTTGAGTATCATAATAATGATAAAAATACTCATAAAATATAATAAAAATATTCACAAATATAATAAATCGTAGTATAATATCGAAAATTTGAATTTGAGTATCATGGTGAAGTCCCCCAAGCGAATGTAACTCAACCAACCGCTCATGCATTGGCAAGACGGGGGTTGGCTATGCAGTCACAGGATCCTTAGCCGTGAATGAGCTTTTCCACAACATGCATCAGAATGCATCGATCGGAGTAGCATTAGACAGATTTTACTAGTATTTTGTTTACTTTAGAGCCTAGTTTTCTTCATGCCTTCCTTTTTCTGCACTTCTTTATTTTCAAGCAAAAATAAAAAATAAAAAAAAAGGTACAAGAGGGAAGTAAATAAAGAGAAAATCCAATAAAAAGAAAAAACATTTCTGGTTTTGTATGTAAAGAAAGACGAGTAGAAATTTCATTTCGATATCCAAAAAAAATAAATAATGATAATTGATAAATAGGTGGATGCACTGGAAAAACAAAATTTTCTTACTTAAGTTTTACATCTGCTACTGCCTTCCAAACACGAGAAAATATTGAATATAACTATTGGCAAATGATGTCATTATTTAATATTAAATCCGACATGTAAATAAATGAATTTTACTTAATTTGAAAAAATATTCGTTTACGTAAGAAAATAATCATAAGCATTCATCTTATTTGTTTATAAATTTATTATTACACGATGATATCACATGACAATTGCGACGTGTTGTCACCGTTAAACCTAAACCCCGTCAATCTCATGTTTCACACACACGCACGCGCGCGCACGCGTACAAATACAGAAAAAAAAAAAAAAATTCGATTTGGGTCCACAAATATTAGAGGTTAAGTCGGTTGAGTGTAGTTTGATGTTGTAAGTTAAAGTCAATCGAACATGAGGTTGAAGTTAAAGTTAGTGTGGGATGGTATAAAATTACTAAAGAAACCAATAACTTTAATAATCAATGGAGGCTTGAACTGGATTTAAACTATGATTAATGTAGAAATCAGAGGCATTCTTGGGGCTTTCCGTTTGACTGTATCGATAAATTATAATTTTTTTATATTGGTCTTGGTTAGTTAGGTCATCTGAGGAGATAAGATCAGCTTACCATTTCCCTTCAACCGATAAAGTGGATTCCACTCCAGTGTCATCAACCACATGGTAACGGGGAATATTTTGCCATTTTTAAATTTTTATTTCTTTCACCTCAAGCATTAAAAGTGGCAGTAGTAGGCACACTAAAATTTCTTTAAAGCGTAATACTTTTTTTTTTTTTTTTATCAACGGTCGGAGTGTTTCAATACCAGAACACATGGATTTTTTTTTTTTTTGGGAAAATTTCAACGACACCCCCTCTAATTTATCATATCTTTAAGGACAACTTCTCTAGTTTCTGAATCTTCAATGACATTCTTTCTAGTTTAATTTAAACATCACTAACACCCTCTACCATTAAACTATTATTTCTAACAAAAACAATCATCTAAAATCTAAAATACTGCTACATAACCTCAAACAATTTTTTTACATAAAATTTTATTAAAATTCGAGCCGTTAAAATTTTTTTAAAAAATCATAAATAACAATTGTAGTAAATAATTTGTTAGTAAATATTAATTTGTTATTTACTAATTCATAATTTTTTTAAAAAAATCGAGCCTATTAAATTGTTTATTATATATATTAAAATTTGAGCCGATTTGAACTCTACCCGAGTTGTTAGCACCGATTAAAATTCTCTTTCGAGTCGATTAAAATTTATATTTTTTTACTTATTAAAATTCGTTTCAATTAAAATTCATATTTTTTATATATTTAAATTTGGGATGATTAAAATTCAATGCGAATTAATTAAAATTTGATTTGAGTCGATTAAAAATAATTTTTAATTGGCTCAAACAAAATTTTAATTAGCCCAAATTCTAATACCTAAAAAAAATATAATTTTTAATTGACACAAATTTTAATATGTAAAAAAATAAATTTTAATTAGCTTGAATTGAATTTTAATCGGTTAGAATTTAATTACGTAAAAAAAATTAGAAAACAAATGGGGTCTCATTGAAAATAAACTTATCTAGAGGAAATCTCATTGAAGATATGTTTATGTAGAAGGAGTGTGGATGAAGTTTGTCCTCAAATATATCATGGATAATTTAGTAAAATTGCATTATACTTAATATTTTTAATCTGACAAGGGTGTCATTAAAGATTCAAAAATTAGAGGGGATGTCCTTGAAGATATAGTAAACTAGAGGGGGTGTGGTTGAAATTTTTCCTTTTTTTTTTGTCTAATTAGAGACAGATTATCTATACCGGAATTAGGATAATCAATAGAGATAAATCTCTCATAGTCTTGCTCCATGGGGTTGCCAAGGTTTAAACTCAAAATGTTTCTTCCTTGTCCGGTCAAAGATAAACTATCAACGTCAAGATTAGAGTATTAACGATGGATAAATTCCTCGTGCGGGATTCTAAGGGGTTACCAAAATTTATACTTAAGACGTCTGAATTTACAACTCGTCCTTGTTACTACTTGAGCTATCTTTTTGAAATTACTTAAATTTTTTAAAAGAAAAATACTATTGGAATATAAAAATTTGGCATAAATTACTGACCTAATAATGTAATTTTATTATAACAGTTGAATTAACACCAAATTCTAATATTTAAAAGGTCCAAAAATAATATAAACTTATTGATCCAAAACTTGAGTTTGATCTTCATTCTTTTTTTTTTTCGATACATAAAATAGATATGCAAATGGAACATTTTACATATCCGTCAGACAACATCACATAACTATCTGCAGGAGACCTTATCGCACCTATGTCGAGGTTGAAAATAAGATCACATCGTTTGTCCTACGCACTAAAGAGTAAATTTAGCTCCAACGTGATACCGTACATTTGGAGAATCGAATTCAAGTATTGAACAAAAAAAAATTGAATTCTTACCCAATAAAACAACAACTCATCAATATATTCATTCTTTAATATATCCATTAAAAACTTCCATCCACCTAACTAGGTACTAGGTTCGAAAGTATATAATTTATTAACGATAATTTGTGCCTAAATATATGGTACAATATAAATGATTTTGAGAGGAATATTGTTGGCCGATAAATAAATTTATTTAAAATTATCGGATAAATTTATTAAAATATACTTTATTTTATATTATAGATATTGTCCAGTTTGTATCTATCACGCATGGGCCATGGACACTATACTGACAACCTCTCTTATTTCTGATATTTCCATTGCACCCCTACTGTTTATGTAAGACTTGTTCGTTAATTGAATTTCCAATTTTGCCCTCAGTTATATCTAAGCTGCTCCCAATTCCAATTCACCAATACTGCCCCTGCTCTTAAACCCGTGCGATTGTCAATAGCATTGCTCATTTATAATATCTCTTCATCGTCACCATCAACTCTGCTACAACGCAACCATTCGGGCATGGACCAGGACAATCCTTTGCCTTTTGTCTGCTATAAATTCTCTGCGTCTTGATAAAAAATCTTCTCTCTAAACCTCCGCCTCAACTTTCACGCAAACAAACTTCATATTGACAGTTCTGTCTGTGGAGAGAGAAACTCCATAGATTTAGGAACTAGGAAGTGACCGAAACAATGTCCAGGAATGAAATTTCTTACTTTTAGGAGAGAGAAAGAGATAGAGAGAGAGGATGACAGACACTGAAGAAGAAGAAATCACAGTTCCACTCCGTAAGATTTTTAGCTCAATAACGCAATTTTTAATTTGTATGCTTGTTCAATACTTACCGGAAAAACATTTTCATTCAAATATGCAGTTCAGAAGAGCGAACAGAACGGAACCGATGCCTCCGGTTCTGAGTCGAAGGACGATCCGCAAAAAGATGAAAATTCTCCGATCGAGCAAGTGTTCCTCACGGTACCGGTCACCGATGACCCAACCCTACCGGTGTTGACTTTCCGTATGTGGACTCTCGGAATCTTAGCTTGTCTTCTTCTCTCTTTCGTCAACCAATTCTACTGGTACAGGAGACAGCCTCTCTCAATCACCTCAATATCGGCGCAGATCACCGTGCTCCCACTCGGACACCTCATGGCGTCGACGATCACGAAGAGAGTGTTCTTCAAGGGGCAAAAGTGGGAATTCACTCTGAATCCGGGACCGTTCAACGTCAAGGAGCACGTTTTGATCACGATTTTTGCGAACTCCGGCACCGGATGCCCTTACGCGATTCACATTGTTAGCGCCGTTAAGGTATTTTACGAGAAGAAGTTGACGTTTTGGGCGGCATCGATGGTGGTTGTGACGACGCACGTGTTGGGTTTCGGGTGGGCCGGCTTGTTCCGGCGCTACTTGGTTGAGCCTGCGGCCATGTGGTGGCCTCATAACCTAGTCCAGGTTTCGCTTTTCAGGTACCATGCTTTTTTTCTTGGGAAAGTAGGGAAGAAGTTAACTTGTCCTCAACTCTTACTTTTTTACATTACTGTTTAATTTAATGATATTTAGACCGATTTAGTGGCACTTAGAGTTTTAGAATTTTTTTTTTTTTGGTCTGATTAAAAAAGCAGATCATTTACACTAAAATTAAAATATTTATAAAAAATAAATTTCTCGTAACTTAACCTTATTAATTTGAAACTATTGTTAAAATTAATAATAGTATTATTTATATCTAATTTATTTATATAATTTATAAAATTAACTTCTTTTAAAATTGAATAAAAAATTTGATTTAATATAAATGACTCTAATAAACAAACTCAATTTTAAAGGTTGAAAAATTTAAATTTAAAGAGGAGAAAGTATAATCATTATATATTTAAAGGAGTATAAAATCTAATCATTTAGTAATTTTAGAAAAAGTTTGAGTGTTCTTTAATTTGTAAAAAAATTTGAGTATCTTTTGATTTTGTATGAGTTTGAATTTTTTTTTAAAATTTTTTTATGTAAATTTATATTTGAATTTAAAAAAGAATAAAGGTGATCGTTGATATTTTTTGTTAAAAAAATAAGGGAGTAATGTTGTAAAATTAATTCAAGTAGTTTAAAAAATAATATACAAAATTTAATAGTTGGAGAGAGAAAACAAGAAAGGCAGACTCTAATTGCAAGTCGCGTCTCTCTCTCTGGTGTAGGCTTCGAAAGGGAAGGGCGGCATCTTCTGTTTGTCGCACTTAGACTTTGTGGAATGGCGAAAAAAATAATTTTATAAAATTTAAATAAAATTTTAAAAATTATAATTTAAATGCATATTATCTTTTGAATGAGTGAATCTTATTTTTCAACGAGACTCACTCATTTCACACTCATCCAAAAGATAATATGCATTTAAATTTTAACTTTTGAGTTTTATTTAGATCATTCAATATTTTCGTAATAATATAAAATGAAAGTGTTCAAAAGAAATTAAAGAGTAAATATTCAACAACCGTGGTTTAACAATAAAATACTTTGAGGACCAAACCTATTTTAGGAACTTAATTTATTATAGTCATTAAATATGTTAGGAGTTTTAATGGAAAATAAAGGTCACTTTTAATATAACAATTATAATTAATTAGTTTTTTAAATTAGATTCTCAAATTAATTACAAATAATATTTTTCAATATTATTTATCTATATCCAATATAAAAATATTATTTATATTTGATTTGGAGATTTATTTGACTATTAAATTGATGGAGGACATCATTTAATTTTGGTACACACAATTAATGTAATAACTATATAATATATGAGGTACTCACATTAGATCGTTAGATTAAGTTCAAATAACATTACTTTATTCAAAACCAATAACATTTGTAACATTGCATGGCTAATGATTACATATATCTAGGGTGTAACTTAGGTAGCTCGAATTCAACCTGAGTTTAATCTGAAAAATATAGGATTTGAGTTAAAATTTTTAATAAGAAAATTTAGATGTCGGTCCCCTTATACGGACTTATTTGGACTTAAATCCGTCAAAAAAACTTATTTGTTAAGAAACCCGTTTTTTGTTAATTTTGCCCGACTATCCATTCCTTTTAAAAGTAAAGGAAAATTAAAAACTAAAAACTCATAAATTTTAGGAATTTGACTAATATTAAATTTTTTTTCCCTCATATCTATTTATATCCATATATATGTTAGGACTATATATATATAGAGTAACATTCAAATATAAAAAATAATATCATTTAAACACAAAAAATAGTATCATTAAAAAATAAAAAATATTAATATTGTATATTAATATTTGAAAAAATAATAGTAACATACTCAATAAAAAATAATAACATTTATTATTGATATTTCAGAAAAATAGTAATATTTAATATTAACATTAAAAATAAAAAATAATAGTATTCAAACACAAAAATAGTACAATTTAAATACAAAAAATAGTACCATTTAAATACAAAAACATAGTAACATTTAAAAAATAAAATATAGTAACATTGTATATTAATATTTAAAAAAAAAATAATAGCAACATACTCAACAAAAAATAGTAACATTTGAATATTGATATTTTTGAAAAAAATATTAACAATAACTTGCTTATAAAAAAAAAAGTAACATTTTTAATAAAAAATAGTAACATGAACAAGTCCAACAAAACAGAAATAGTAACGTGGAAAAAAATTGTACCAGTACAATGTTGTCTTCTTCACAAAAATATACAACTAATTAAATCGAGACCTAAATCGAAATCACGCTGATCATCCCAAAAAGTAATAACATGTGCACAAAAAAATAGTAACATGTGCAAAAAAAAATAATAATAATAACATGGTATTTCAAGAATTGAAAAAATAGTAACATGCTTCGGGACATTTCGTTGAAGTTTTTGGTGGGAAGGTGTGATGATGTGGGAGTAACGGATAGGAGAGGTTTAGTGGGTTGTTGAAGGCGGTGGGTTGGGATTTTTAGATTGGCAGTGACCTTCGCCTATGAGACTTTGATTTTTGGGAAGACACAGATGAGAGCTTTGTGAGGAGTCTAAACAAAGAGAAGTTATATGGGGCGAGAGAGAGTTATGGAAAAATTGTGAGAGACATTTATTAGTGTAAAATCAGGTAGATATATCTTTATTCCATATATATGTCAATGAATTAATTTATATTCCCTCCCCCCTCCCTTCCCCTCCCCTCCCAAAAAAAAAAAAAAATTTCTATAGCTTTTTATAATTGAACAAAATTAATACCGTTAGAGATATTTTTGAGATTAAAAAAAAAAGTGGATTTAAGTACCTACATATAAGTTTAAAAATGGACTTACCTCCAAATAAGTTTTCTTGTCGAACTCAAGTCATTATAAGTCCATCTAGAAGGACTCAACTCTAATTTTCATTTTTTAAAACTTGAGTTAGGTTTGGATTGGACAAAAAAATCTCAACCCGAATATACATAAATATATTTAACTAGTATTAGTATTTATTTTCACTCTTTAGAATTCAGACTTTCACTTCACTTCAAGTCTTCACCTCCATAACTCTCAGATCCCTTTCTCAATCATCACTCCTCGCTCTCTCAGCCTCTCTCTCTCAATCGTCACTCATCTGAGTCGTCTTAGACTCTCAACCTCCCTCTCTCACTTTTCACTCCTCCCTCTTTCACTCCCTCTCTCTTCACTTGTTCATTCGACACTTATTTGCTTTCACCTACCAATTACCCTAAAACAAGGTATTTATATGGTATGTCTTTTTTATTTTTTTGCAACGATTAAGAGTATTTGAATTAATTTATTTTTAATCTCAATTAATTTCCTTTATAGTTCGGTTAAAAACAAATTATTCATATTGGAACAATAATATTTATAAATGATAAATTTCTCATCACTTTACTCTACAAAATTATTAAAATTCAAAATCAAAACGTTTGAATTTATAATTCGTTCATTTTTCAACTTCAAATACTAGGGGTGCAACTTGGGTTGAGCACCCCGATTTCAACCCGAACCCAACCCAAAAAAATTAGGACATGGGCAAGGGTTTTTAATACTTGAGTTGGGCTTGGGTCAAAAAATCCCAACCTGAATTCAATTTGGGTTGGCCTCGGTTTCACGGGTTCAACCCGAATTTTTATTTTATTGTTCTTTGTCTCTCTCGTTTATTTTCATTTTTATTCTACCATTAGCACTGTAAAAAATTTGGTTGAAGTAATTGTTTGTTAATTTAGGTGAATATTATGTAATATATGTATTAGGTTTAGAACAACAAACCTATTTTGAGTTTTAACCGAACTCAACCTAAGTTGAACTCATAAAGTAACTCAAAATTATTAACTGGAATTCAACCATAGCCCACCCAAATTATACTCCGGTAGTGCTCAAGTTTAGTTCCTCAATCCGAGGTAGGATTAGGGTTAGAATTAAAGTTAATGTTGAATATTATATACTTAGAGTTGAGATAAAATTGAATGTCCAATCCACTTGAGTTTATACCCCCATCAAATACCCCCTGGATTATTCTTTAAAGTTTTTAATGGTATGTCATGCACAACCAAGTTTCCACACACATAGAAGTGTCAGCCTTATTAAAGTTTGAACAGTTTTGTCCTTTTGTGTAAGCATTTTATTTGCTAAAAATAAAGAATACGAGAATGTTTGGACACCTTTGATGGGCCCACAACTCGTTGTAAGTATACAAGCCCATTGGACCTCTGTATTACTGGTGGTCGGCTGGGCACCTTTTTTTTTTGTTTTTTTCTCGGTTAGTGGCTGGACACTTGTTAAGGATAATATGAGGATCTTCAATTTTCCTTGGATAATCACGGTGGCTTAGTGGTAAAATTTGAGACTACTTAAAACAGGTCTTAGGATTGATCAACGATGGCCCTCGGTGTATAGTTTTGGTTGAACTCAGTAACGAAATTTCTCCGAAATATTTTAAGAAATCTTTGAAAAATTGAAAAAAATTAAAAATTTATTTTCAAATACTCGAGACACGTCCAAACACATTTTGTTGGAAAGAAAAAGAAATTGCCATCCTTTCCCATCAACTACAGGAAAAAGGAGGTCTATGGATTGGATGGATGCTAGTAAGATGAATGCACTTCACTCATGCAAACACAGGATTTCCAAATAACTACCAACTACTAGGTGTTACATATTGTTTGGTAATGAGATTTGTTGAGATGCAATGATTGCATAGAGGGGATATTTGTCTCTGTAATGTCCCTTCTGATTGTCAGTTTAACTTATTCACACACTCTATTGCAATAACTAATCATGATTAGTCTAGTCCCCCTCTACAAATTTTCTTATGCCCCTCTTGCCAATTTTCTTGACCCATCTATAATTATTTTCTCATCTATTATAAATGTATAGTGATAAATTAATATAGTAGTAATAATTCTATGTCTAAAGATGCTTTACAAAATTTGGAGGCTTCAACTATTATTTTTCAATAGAGATACATTCTTGTTCTGTTAAGCTCTAAATTCTTGAGCATATAGGGATTAAAACTTTTTAGAGTCGAGGAATATTGTCATAGTTATCGGGCTTTAGAAGTTGGGGCCAAAAAAAGTTAGGTCCTTTGGGGGTGATGAGGGCTATAAGAATTAGTTATTTCTCATTAAGTTTAGGATTTAGAAATTCAGAATTTAAATTTTATAAAGAATATTCAGTCGAAATTCATAATCAAACCAAAGCATATTAGTTCATTTTTGGTTACTTTTGGAAGTACAAATATGTTAAGTCCGGTTTCTAACAATCCCATTGGTATAAGCATACAATTCAACCAATGAACTCCTTAATGATTGCACGACTTAGAGCTATATAAGTCTTTTGTGCTAGTTCTTTTATATCATTTGTAGTGCGTCACTTGTTTTTCCTTATGGATCATGCACCATGTTCCTTCTCTATAACAAACCTGTATCTGCCAAAAATATCAATGAACACGTTACACTTCGGTTCATACCCTGAGCTATCGGGGAAGAAAACTCATTTTCGCACCTGCTTGCTAGTGAGCAGAGTCTCTTTGAAGCTCTTTAAGAGCAAGAAAAGGCTTGCCTAAGAGTTTCAATTTGATTTGTTTATCTAAATTCCATGCAGCATTTGTCTTTGCTGCAGATGACTAAACATTAAACCTTTAGGTGCACTTGAATGATGGACAAGCATATGCAGCTATGTTTAACTATAAGACTCTTGTTATTGAGCTTATAATTTGCTGCTTCTTTTTTCTCCACCTTGTTAAAAGTATCATGAAAAATGGCAGGACATTGCATGAGACAGAGGAGAGGCCGAAGGGTCGATTATCACGAAACCAGTTCTTCCTCATTGCCTTCACTTGCAGCTTTGCTTACTATGTCTTTCCAGGCTATCTCTTCCCTATGCTGACCTCCATTTCCTGGTTATGTTGGATATTCCCTCATTCCATCCTAGCCCAACAACTAGGTTCTGGTCTCCATGGTCTTGGCATCGGTGCAGTTGGATTCGATTGGTCGAGCATATCTTCTTACCTTGGGAGCCCACTGGCTAGCCCTTGGTTTGCTACTGCCAATGTTGCTCTGGGATTTGCTCTTGTCATGTATGTAATAACCCCAATTGTCTATTGGCTCAATATCTACAAGGCCAAGAACTTTCCCATTTTCTCTGATGACCTCTTCACCTTTAGTGGCCAAAAGTATAACATCTCAGCCATCATAGACCCGAACTTTCACCTCGACATGGAGGCATATGAGCATGAGGGCCGTCTCTATCTCAGTACATTTTTTGCCATGACCTATGGTGTCAGTTTTGCCTGCCTCACTGCCACTGTTGTTCATGTGCTCCTTTTCCATGGAAGGTAATATTCATGCTGATCTAGTCCCTTATTTTTGAAATGTGTAAACTGTACAATGTTCTTCCCTGCAGTCCATCTATCTGCAGATCAAAGCATTCACGTTCAGCGTCAAAAGATTATAGTTCAAAACTACAATTTGCTTACCAGCTGAGAATTTCCTCCTCTCTGAAAGAAAATTCAGAGATTATTTGCCGCATTTTTGGAGTGTTTATGAATTTCTACTGCTTATTATAATGCATCTTCTTTTTTTTCCTTTTCTTAAGGGAAAAAATGTAGAAGTTAAAGAACTTTGCATTGGTCATTTGGCACCTAGAGTGGTTTTGTAGTCAACTAATTCTCCGATAATGGGTAGCAGCCATTTCGATGAGGTTCTCTGCGAATTGTTCTAGTAACCTCTTTCCAATAATCTTTTCATGAAAAGTATACTATAGTTGTCTTAGAGGTGATTCTTACTTTTAAGTTGTTTCAAATTCTGGCTATTTTTGCATCTAGACTGAGTCAGTTAATTATATGTAATATCAAACTGTCAGTCAAAATGATCTCGAACTCTATGTACTATATGGCAAACTTTAAGTTGAACTCACTGTTACAAGGATGCAGAGAATTATGGCAGCAAAGCAAGTCCGCCTTACAAGAGACGAAGATGGATGTGCACACCAAGCTTATGAGAAAATACAAACAAGTTCCTGAATGGTGGTTCACATGTCTCCTGCTGACAAACATTGCAGCAACCATATTTGCAAGTCAGTACTACAAGGACCAACTCCAGCTACCATGGTGGGGTGTCTTGCTAGCATGTGGCATTGCCTTCTTTTTCACACTTCCTAGCGGTATCATCACCGCGACCACAAACAAGGTATAGCTCTATGCTTTTTATGACATTCTCTCTCTCCCCCCCCCCCCACCCAAAAAAAGGAAAAGAGAGAGTTAAGTTGTATGTAATAATTCTATTTTCTTCCTATACAACATTTAGTCTATACTCTGTTTCTTCATGTAAATATATACTCACAAGATTAACAAATTTTTAAAATTGTACTAAATAACCGATTGGGAGCAGACACCAGGCTTGAGTGTGATCACCGAGTACATTATCGGGTACATATATCCAGGGTATCCGGTAGCTAATATGTGCTTCAAGGTGTATGGATATATCAGTATGGTGCGGGCAATCACCTTTCTACAGGATTTCAAGCTTGGTCACTACATGAAAATTCCTCCTCGAGCAATGTTCACAGCCCAGGTCAATTTTGTGTCCTTTTTCCCAAATCAGATATAACAAAAAACAAAAAATGGGATTAAAGTCTCTTCATTTCTATAAAGATTGATGCTTTTGTGATGATCTTGTGCATGATCAGGTAGTTGGTGCTCTAATATCAGCATTCGCCCATTTAGGAACAGCATGGTGGCTCATGGACACAGTCCCTGACATATGCAACACGTCCCTGCTGCCACCCGAAAGCCCATGGACTTGCCCGAAGGACAAAGTGTTCTATGATGCCTCGATCATCTGGGGTCTGATCGGTCCCAGGAGAATTTTTGGAGATCTTGGTTACTACTCCTCCATCAACTGGTTTTTCTTAGGTGGTGCTATAGCTCCTCTCCTAGTTTGGCTAGCACACAAGGCCTTCCCTAACCAGCATTGGATAAGACTTATTTCAATGCCAGTGCTCTTAGGTGCAATAATGAATATGCCCCCAGCTACGGCTGTGAACTTCACCAACTGGATAATTATCGGGTTTTTGTCGGGTTTTGTTGCTTATAGATACTATCGGCCCTGGTGGAGTCGCCATAACTATGTGTTGTCTGGTGCTTTGGATGCTGGATTAGCTTTCATGGGAATGTTGTTGTATTTCTGTTTGGGGATGGAGCATATTAGCCTTAACTGGTGGGGCAGTAAAGCAGATGGATGCCCCTTGGCTTCTTGCCCAACTGCACAAGGTGTTGTTGTTGAAGGATGCCCAGTTAGTAATTAAAGGAATGCTTGAAGGAAGTTTGTTGAAAGTTATATTTGGTTTAACTACTGTCTTAACTTGAAAGAGGTGTCTAATATACTAAGCATTGTCGATTTGTAAACACACAACTAATCTAATGGCGATAAATCTCTCACTATTGTTGTTGTTTATGTTTTCAGTTTTTGGGATATGTACTATAGCTGGCCATTGTTTACCATTATAGAGGAAGGAGGGATCCGGGATATTTTTCTCCAAACCAAACTCTCTCGCAATGTGTTTGGTTATGGAGGAAAGAGAAGGGAAAAGAAAAATGACGAGACTTTAAGCGACTCAAAAACCGCAAGTTGACACAAAAATCGCAAGTTGACACGTGGATGATTATAGCTGTTATGAAATGCAAAGGATGCCTAGAGGAGGAGCCGAAGAGTTAAAGTCTTGGGGAGGCTAAGGACATCCATCTGGGCCGGGCATTAAAAAAGATATGATAGCTCATTAAATAGGGTCTTGAGTGATTACAAGTCATTAAATGCACATTCAGGTCCTCGAGAAATATGAGAACAGTTATCATTACAAGACATTAATTACCATGACGTCGACTCATTAATTAACATACAATCCAAAAACGATGAAAGTTAATGATATTGGTGAATCAATTGGAAAAAATATTTTTCCTTCCTTCAAGTTCTTCTCTCCTTCGGTTGAAATCGAAACAAGGAAATTAAATCCCATCGATCAATATAACCATCAACACCTACCATCCATTCTTATCAGAACAAGTACAATCCACCTTCCTTCAGTGACAAGTACATTCCATCACTTTTAAACTAAAAAAGTCAGAAAATATTTTCCCGTTCACCAAATATATAACTCGTTAAATGTTATAAAATTTCAATCAATTATTGTCATTGTCAATTTTGTTTAGAAATTTTACTTTTTGAGTCTAACAAATAAATGTGATGCCCTTTTCATGAGTAAAATTGGGTGTAATAATTGAATTACGGTAGTATTATTACGTGGTGTAATTATTTAATAATAAAATAAATAAATAAGTGAATCCCATTTTTTGAATAAAAAAATATTTTTTTGTATATAATTTAGTGACTTTATTTGATAACATCATGATTCATAATCATCAAATTAATAATGTATACTAGCAAATAGTGATGTCTATCGTCAATTTAATGATAAAAAATAATAAAATCATTAAATAAATTTACTAAATAAGATTAACGTAACATTGTCCTTTTGAATATGTGACAGTTGCTTTTCGATTCAATTACCACTCGAGTTATTTAAGGTTACGTTTTTTATTTTTAATTTTAAAAAAAAATAAAAAAATGAAATAATTTTCGATTTTCGGTTTTCAGTTCATAAAAAATCGAAACAAAAAACTTTATTGATAAACGCTTCTAAATTATTTTATGAACAACTTATTTACACCGTACGCTTCCATAATAATTTATCAGTAAAAATAACAGATTATAAGGGTAACATATTAAGGCATAACATAATTTTATTTATTAACAAAAGATAGAACATTACAAGAAGCAAACCGAGCTATAAAACCCCTTAACAAAACCAAAACATAAAAGAAAAAAAACCAAAACATAAAAGAAAGAGGACAAGCCACAACTGGGCTTTAATCCTTTAAAACATACTACTGCCTTTGACATTACAACCAACAAAGTTTAAAAACAGCAGCAATCTTAGATGGCCTTCACACTTCCAACTTTCCCCCTTCTTACCCACCATCATCAAAATTCAGCATCGTCTTCTTACGCAGAACAGGCAAACACCTTTGATCTTGAAGCAGCCTCATCCTCACCAAAGCAGGCAATTGATTCATACAGAACTCAGAAGAAAATCCATCCTGGACAGCCTGAGTAGCTAAACCATCAACCACAAATTTTGCTTCACGATAAACATGTGCCAAATGGAAATTCAACCCATTTAAAAGCTGATCTGTGCCACCACCCCAAAATAAGGCCAAGAACACTTAAACTGACCTTTCATAGTATTTATCACCACCAAAGAATCTGACTCAATCAAAACTTGATAGTCAGACAAACCCAACCTCACAAACAGCTTTAAACATCACTTTAACAGGCACCACAATACCCAAAAATTGTAAAATATCCCTTTCTCTGCTCCCCTCTTCTTATCTTTACGTGAACCCCATGGACCAACCCCACCCATCCCATCCCCTTTCTTTTTGATAATCAAACAACCAGACAAGCTCTTTTTCTTCAACACACCCACTGATCTCACGCCCTCTTCCATTCCTCGAAATATAAAAAAAAAAAAAATCCCCAGATATTAATCAAATACACATTCAATTCCGCCCAAATTCACCATCAAAATTAACAAAAAACCCCCCAAAAAACCAAATTGTGCATCTTTAATAAAAGATACGAGATTTGGAACAAAGCAGACAAAGACCCCATATTTTTATAAAAGCCTAAGAAAATCTAACGCATATAATTGTCCTTACAGTGAAAAGCAGAGGGAAATCATATGATCCGTACCTCGCCGGCGAGTATTAGCAGATGGATTATGTTGATTGGTGACGTAATTTTTCGGCGAGGGAAGAGAGAATTCTTCAGGTTGTACTTGGTTCCCTTTGTGAGTATGTGTATGATGGACGACGAGAGAGCTTCAGACGAGAGAGAAAAAGTTGGATCTGCTCTGCTAGAACTCCTCTGCTGGACGAAGCTGCAGCTGTGAACGAAGGGACTGAGAGAGACGATGAGATGAGAGAGAGTTTGAGGGTTTAAATAGACGTGTTGGCTGGTTTTTTGGTAGATGGATTAACTTGTTGCTAATAAGGCTCGCTGGGAGGATCTCGTTAAACATCTTCCGCCTAAAACGTCTTTTTTTTATTTTTAAAATTTGAGTTAATTTTGAAAACGGTTTCACTTAAAAAAATTTAAAATAATTACCAAACGAATTTAAATTTTAAATTTTTTTAAAAATTAAAAACAAAAACGAAAAAATTAAAAACCAAACCATTAGACCCTAAAGTTTCACATCGGTGCCGGTTGCCTCTTATTATTTTCTCAAAAAAGTCACAGACGGTTTGCCCAATCTCACACGCATTGGAATTTCATCTTAGCGGCCTTCTTATTTAAACCTAACTGTTTGAACTTTCCACACTTTCATATTGACCGCGTTTTGGAGAGGGAAACTCCATAATAGCTGTAGGATGTGAGAGAGAGAGAGAGAGAGAGAGAGAGAGAGGAGATGAGAGAAACTGAAGAAATCAAAGCTACACTTCGTAAGATTTTAAGCTCTGTACAGTAATACAAATTTTGATTTTTATGCTTGCTTGTTCAATATATACTTACAGGAGAACCATTTTCATCTCAATGTTTGTGCAGTTCAGAAGAGGGAACATGACGGAGCCGGTGCCTCCGGTTCTCACTCGGCGGACGAATCGCAAAATAATGAAAATTCTCCGATCGAGCAAGTGTCCCTCACGGTGCCGGTCACCGATGATCCAACACTACCGGTCGTTACCTTCCGAATGTGGACTCTCGGAAGCCTAGCTTGTGTTCTTCTATCTTTCGTCAACCAATTCTTCTGGTACAGGAGAGAGCCTCTCTCAGTCACCTCAATATCGGCGCAGATCTCCGTGGTCCCACTCGGACACCTCATGGCGTCGACGATCACGAAGAGAATATTCTTCGAGGGACAAAAGTGGGAATTCACGCTAAATCCGGGTCCGTTTAACGTGAAGGAGCACGTCCTGATCACGATTCTTGCGAACTCCGGCGCTGGAAACCCTTACGCTATTCACTTTGTGAGCGCCGTGAAGATATTTTATCAGAAGAGGTTGAGTTTTTGGGCGGCATTGGTGGTGGTTGTGACGACGCAGGTGTTGGGGTTCGGGTGGGCGGGGTTGTTCCGGCGGTACTTGGTGGAGCCGGCGGCTATGTGGTGGCCTCAGAACCTAGTCCAGGTTTCACTGTTCAGGTACCTTGTCAAACTGTCATTCAAAGCTTGACATTTTATTAAACGTACTAGTGGATCGCGTGTCGTGTCCTGTCTGGTGTATATGCTGTCATCCATGACATGACGAGCGTCTGAGAAGAATATGGAAGACGATGGTAAATCTCTCCTTTTCGCACTTGACTTGTGCAAAGGGTAATTGTTTTTTGCGTTTTGAAAAGATTTAAAATTTTGTGAAAAATTTGTAAAAATTTGTCACTTAATCACTCAAATTTTTTTATATTCAAAATATTATAACAAATTCTCTAAAATTTATATGTATGTATAATTATGTATAATTATATTATCTATTCGAATAAAATTAAAAAAATTAAATAAGAGTCTAAGTTATTTATAATAGAGTATAAATTTTACGTCCAAAATTCATGTTCTAGTATGTCATTTATTGAAATAAAAAAAAATTTAATTTTTTTAAATGAAATTTTTCCTAAATTTTTTTATTTTATACCCTTAAATATTATAGTTCTTATATTGCACCATCTTTTTTTTAAAACACATTGCCATTTAAAAAACATTAATTTAGTTAAAAATAAAAACATATTTTAAAAACACAATTTTACTAACCCAATAAGGCTTAAAGTGAATCATAAATTCGGATGTTTTAAGCTCAATTCTTGTTTGTGTCTTCTACGCGAATCCGGTGCCATGGTAAAGTGATAATTATTTCATATGTATGTATCTAGTATTATTTAATAACTATCATCATGTAAATATAATTTTTTGTTACTAGATCATGATATGACATATCAATAATAATATGATATTAATATTACAAATTATTTTCTCTTGAAATAGATTAGGATAGCGGCGGATGCAATATTTTTGTGTTGGAAACAAGCTATAATCATTAATATTTCAAATAATTGAAGTTGATTATATGAGCCTATGTTGTTTTTACTTATTTGCTCCTTAAAAGCAGGCTAAATCCAACGATTTGTCGGATTAGATCCTTCCCAATTATATTTTTACTTAATTTTATTTATGGTAGTTTATTGAATAAAATTGAGTATAAATATAATTAAGAGAATATAAAGGAGCCCACTAGGAATCACACTTCATGTACGTGTGAGTTTAGTTTTGAGTTTAAAATTTCAGGTAATTTTTTGAGTTTGTAACTTACCTTTTAAAATAGTTAAAATATCTCAGAATCCGAAAGATTTAGGTGGACCCACAACTGATATTTTGTATACAAGTCCATAGGCCTAATTTGGACCTGCGTCTCTAGCAGTTGTTGGTGGCAATTGTCGGATTTGACTCGTCTACACTTGGGAAATAATCCGAGGGTCCTTCAATTAACTTTGAGTAATTAGGATGGTCTAATGCTCAAAGGTGAGAATTTAAATTAGGTCTCAAGTTTGATCTCAATGAACAAAAAAAGAGATCAATGGATGTTGATACGATGAATGCTTTTGACTTTTGTAAACACCAGATTTCCAAATTACTACCAACTACTAATGACCTATGATTTTTCATAACAATGATTAACCTTTTTTTGTAAATTTAACAATTTTAATGACTCCAATTTATCTTAGTGAACACATACATAAATAACAATGCTTAATTTAGCGAATCACTTGAAAAATGAATTTTGAACATTTGAGTTTTTAATCTTATGCTCCATTTGGTAAGATGGATTGAAAGGAGAGATACACTTTCTATCTTTCAAGGAAGGAAAGTAGGAATGATACGTAATGATGCACAAAATTGGTTTGCACACCACCTGTCAATTAAACAATATAAAATGCAATAAAATTTAGAGAGAAAGAAGACAAGGTTTACAGTGGTTCGGTCAATATGACCTACGTTCACTTTGAATGGCAAGGGTCGTCGGAATTTTATTATCTCTGGTGTGGAAGGAGAGCATAGGATTACCAACTTTGAGAGGGGAGTAGAGAATTATGCTCAAATGAGTCTGATGCCACCTAAGTATTGGTGGGGCTTACAATTTATAATGGCTTAGTGTAGTAATTGAATAGCTAGTCGGACGGTCATAACGGGTTGTGGCCGTTTAATAGTCATAACGGGTTGGTGTGACTTTAATAGTAATTAAATAACTTGGCGATCTCTGCTCTCCTCAATAGCAAAGAAGTTTATGATGCTCTCCAAGCGGCGGGGGTGAGGCTCCTAGACGCTCTTTTGGTGGTGTAGAGGAGACTCCCAAATGACCTTGCATGCTTTTGGTTGACGTAACTCCTTGAACTTGATGAGTATGACTAGACCGATCACATTGGGCTGAACTTGGTGGACCTCTTGAAGTTGGGCCTTAAAACTCAGACCAAACTTATAATATGAGTTGGACCCTTGGGCTTGACCCATCATTTGCCCACCAATGCCCTGCGTTTAAGAAACTTAGAAAGGAGGGCATTCAGTCGAGTTTGAATTTTTGACCGAATGACAAAATTGGAAAAAACTTTGGGAGGCCAAAACATATACTTCCAGGCCTTTTTTGGGCTTTTTTCAGCATCATTCATAGCCAAATGCAGTGACTCTTGTAGAGCTCTTCGAGAGTTTTGATTTGACATATTATGGGCTCCGTTTGGAGTTACGGGTCAAAATAACGCATACACCTTTTAAAATCCAAATTTTTCAAAAAATTCTCTTAATTGGCAACCTCATCCCTTCCAGTAGATTCCTTTTTGCTTGTAGGGACCCATTGCCTATATAAACTCCCTTTCTCCTTCCTTTTGGATTTTTAAAAAGCTCTAGTTGAAATTTGGGGCTTTTGGGTTTTTTTGCTTTTCCAAGAGGACTTTGAAACCCTAGGTTATAAATAGTAATTTTCTTTTTCATTCCACCCATTTCATTCATTCTTTTTCATGTGTGCTCTTTCTTGAAATCTTTGGAGACCCAAGGTTAGGAATTCTTGAGTTTGAGCATCAATGTCGACTAGAAAATAGATGCAACCATACATTATCATTGAAGAAGAAACAGGCAGCGGCCAAGTGATCCATGATGAGATTGTTGTGCAAACAAGTACCTCCCAGATCTTCATCGGTCAAAGCGGAATTGGTGGGGTGAACCAAGGAGATGAGGCGCCTATGAGGTGCCAAGGTGGCGATGGTGGGTGAATGAGCCAATTGGGTGAGCACAACTCTAATCTGTGGGCTGCCACTGGGTGCGCGCCTGCTGTGCACGAAATGAGGGTACTGAGCACCCATTTAGGTGTTGTTTTGTGCAACATGGGCGAGCAGGCTGGTTTGGGTGCTAAGCAGGGCAGTTTAGGTGTTGAGCAGAGCAATTTAGGCACTGAGCAAAGCAGTTTAGGAGCTGAGCAGGTTGTTTTGGGCGAACAAGGCGCTGATCTAGGTGCCGATCGTGCTGTTCTGGGCGCCAATTTGGGTTCCAGCTTAGGCGCTGAAGTGGGCAATGTGGGTGCTCAGCCCTTGGGTGAGCAAGTCTTGGAGGGGGCAAACAACTTTGGGTGAACAGCCTGCTGTGCTGGGCAGCCTGAGCGAGCAGACTGCTGCACTGAGCAGACCGGGACAATAGCCTATTGCGCTGGGCAGCCTAGGTAAGCAGCTAGCTGCGCTGAGCAGACTGGGCCAATAGCCTAATGCGCTCGGCAGCCTGGACGAGCAGCCTGTTGCGCTGAGTAGACCAGGCCAGCAGCCTGCTGCGCTCGGCAGCGAGGAGCCTGTTTGAGTTGTTCCAAACGTAGCTTCTCAAAATCATTCTCCTAGCGACCTTTCTGGCTCTGACAGAGCTTTACGCCCTCGCGTCAAAAAGCATCGAGGTAAGGTAGCTCTTGATGATGTTGGGTCCAAGGTAAGTACTATCTCCAACACTCTAAATTCAGACGCTGATATTTTACGTATTGTCTCCACCTATCATATTCCTCCGACTGTGCTATGTCATCGAGCCTAGATAGGTGAGCTTGCGTGCGATGACTCCTCTGGTGACATTGCTATTTATGAAGAGGTGCTTAAGGCTGGGCTTAGGTTCCCAATGCCTTCTCCCATTTGTGGCATTCTGAACTATTTTTTCCTGACACCTGGGCGGTTGGCGTCCAACGGTTGGAGGGTGTTGTTGAGTTTCTTAGCATTATGGAAAAGGGTGCACCATGAGAATGCCTCTCCCAAGGAATTCAATGCAACTTATTACCCAAGTGAGACTCTTTCTCCTAATCGAGGCTAGTATTACTTAACCACAAGGGGAGACAAGTTGATTACCAGACTACCCTCTAAATGTCATAGTTGGAAATTTTGTTTTATATTTGTCGGTGGAGAATGAGCTTAGGATGCTAATAAGGCGTTGGTACCAACACGATGGGATGCTCCGAAGAAAGTTGGTACGCCCTACATTCTTACTCCTCTCTTACCCCATTCTCTGTAGGTTATGTACTCACTATATTCCTTGCAGGTGCTCCTGTGCTCTCCAAAGACTAAGAGTGGGAGCTACAGGTTGTGAAAGCTTACTCCACAAGGGACTTTGAAACCCTCATTCTCAAGGGTGGAGGAGTTATTGGTTCCTCTTTCCGTAGGTACTAGTGGTCCCTCTCCAAGGTCTAGCGGTCCCTCCTTGAAAAGGAAAGGTATGTTGATTCTTTTAAACCCTTTTCTTTCACTTTGGTTCTTTTTTTTTTTTTTTATCTTGGTGACACTTTATTTTCTGTGGAGCAATAGATAGGGAGATGATTGGGTCCCGCTTTTCTAGTAGGAGTCTTTCTTCTTCTAAGGTGGCGAGGACGGAGGATGTCTCCCAGGTGGCCTCTCCAACTGTGCTGCCCGAGATGAGCTCTCCTCAGTCAACCCCTCTATTGGCATCTCGAACGCTCTCCCATCAAGTGACCAATCCAGAGGTGCCTCCTCGGTCAGAGAATCCCACAGCTGCACCTCCTGCCCCAAAATCTCATCTAGAGTCTCGTTTATTGGCTACACCTTTTGCCCCCCATTCATCCACTTCTCCTATGGGGACTTCTTCTAAGGCACCTTCTCAGATTAATTCCATGCTGGGTAACGCGTAGGTCATCAAGGATCGTCTTGGGAAGTTTTTTTT